GCGGTGCAGCTCCTGGGGCGAGCTGCGGGGAGATGCAACAGCTGCGGGGGGGGGCTTTAACTCCGGGGGGGGGGTTAAATGCAACAGCTCCGGGAGGCAACGCACACGCAGCAGCCCCGGGATCCCACGGGTAAATGCAAACTGCATGCACAAGGTGTGCAAAAAAAAAATAAGCTGGGTAAAGTGCAGCGCGGTGCGTGCCGCTGCAGCGTTTGCGCATCCCGGACATTTCCACGCACCTCCGAGGGAAACGTGCCCTCGTGTACGCGTGCCAAACGCACGCCTGGCATCATGGATGGAGATCTCGCCTCCAGGAGGAAATAAACTTATTTAAACAGGAGCGACACCGGCTTGGAAACCACCTGAGAAATGACCCAAAGCTCTCCCAGTAAGCGTACGGGATGGCTAGAGGTAAATCATCTCTGCCTACAGCCTCCTGCACAGGCACGCAGACCACAACTGAGGGGAGTGCCCGGCATCCCTCACACTCACTGTGGCCATGGAGGGACGGTCTGTCTCACCCAGCCACACAACAGCTGCCAAGAAACTTGGGCACACAGGATGCCGGATGGGAACTGGCTTCCTGGGATGGGGAATCCAACCTCCTGCTGTTCCAGGCAGCCACATGGCAGGGCCGTGCTCAGAAATGTCTCACAGTCCATCCTGGAGGCTGTTCTGGCCCCTGCTTGCTCTGATGATAAAAACCTGCCCTGACACCTACATCTGCTCATGACCGACCCGTGTCCACGCGTTCCCATGCCAGACGAGTGTGTCCGTGGCTCAGGCACACGTGGAGGTTGCAACATCAAACAAAAACGCTCCAAAAGTTTCACGTGCAGCTGAGCAGACACTGCCTGCACCCCTTCTTCACACAAACACAAGCAGCTGGGTGAAGACATTCCCCTGAGCATCAATGCAAACACGCTTGCAGCGGCTCCTGGGAAAGCAGATGCTGGGTTCTGCCAGCACAGGCGTGCACGCTCATGTAACCTCGGATGGGAAACGAATGGCTTTCCTCGTGCGGTGTGAGGTATAGAGAAATCACTCTGCCACGCACACCTGGCTGCAAGCAGCACTGTTATTAAATACATGATGTGATTTCCTGCTGCAGCTCAGGAATCGCAGCTGTGGACCCGCTCCTCATCCTCCTAGGTGCTATAGAAATACAGAAGAAACTTAATTACCCTGTCTCACGCTTGCAAACCTTTATGAGGGGTGGGCTCCTTCAAGCCCTTGTACAGTTTTATCACTGTTGGGAGAGAAATAACCTCACACAGCTCGAAAGCCAGCAAGGATGGGGCTGCCACCGACCTTCTCACATGCGTATGGTGGCCTCAGGGATTGGACAGCAAAGCCACAAAGCCAACCCCAGGCCTCACACCTAGACAGCACCAAGAAATGCTTTGGTCCCTTAGCTACAAATACACAAGGGCATCAGCCCTGTGGAGAATGGTGGGCAGGAGGCTTGTTGTTCCTCTTCTCCCAAAAAAAATGCAAAGCCAAGTGGGAAAACACACGCACACTCCCCAGAGAGGCAGCAGGGTTTGGAACCAGGTGATGGGATCTTTCCAACCCAAACCATGTCACGGTTCTGTGAGAAACAAGAGCTGAGCAGCTCTGAGGATGCCTCTGGGTGCTCCCTGGACCTTCAGCAGATGTCTCTTCCCAGTGGGTTAAATGTCCAAGCTATTTGCTTACCTGAGATGAGAGGAGAAGGAAGCTTCTTACGGAAACTACAGACTCTAGTTTCCTTGCCTTGATCATTTTCAGGGGTTATGACTGTGGGTTGCTTTCCTCCAAGCTCATTTAAAGCTAAAAAATGAAGGAACAAGAACTTGCTTCCGTCTTTTTTCTTTAAAAAAAAAAAAATACTTCTCCAAGAAATACTTTCTGATCTTGTAGGGTGTTGAAGCTGGAGAACAGGTCTCCAACTCCAAATCAATGTGGGATGTGCTCCCAGCTGAGGTCCTCCAGGACCATCTCAGAGGCTGTTCGGGATGGGTCTCCCCCAGGCTCTGCTGCTCACCCAGATGCCTTCTGCACTCAGAAGTGCTGGGAGAGGACCCTTGGGATCCACGGGGGTCAAACTGTCCTTGTTTACACTCCCACTGACCCAGGAACAGCTCTTGAATCAGGCAGGACAGAAGAGCACCAAGACACAGACACCAGCACCCAGTGGTGTGGGGCACCTGGGTCCTCCCTCTGATCCAAAGCCGGACCCACAAAGCTTATTCATCCCATGGCAGATGATCAACCAGAAGGTAGGGGAGCTCGCCCCCGTGCTTATTTTGCAGAGGCTCTGTCCTTGTCAGCAGCCCTGAAAAGGCTCTGTTGTTTGTTACTTCACAAGGAAAAAAAAAAAAAAAAAAAAAAAAAGAAAGAAAAAAAAAAAAAAGAAAAATCCTTCACCGGGAAAAAAAAAAAAAAAAAAAAAAAAAAAAAAACACTAAAGTACGTCACAGATACTTTAGTGGAAGTCAGCTGCAGAGGTGCTCCGCTCCCTGGCCAGCACTACAGGAGAATATTCACCTCCTAATTCTTCTGTGCCAATGCCACCGAGACCACCACCCTCTGCCCCCTTAACAGGGCTGGAAACAGCCCCAAGAATCGCCCTGGGGGAATTTCTGCCCACGTTTCTGCCCAGCTGCTGCTGTGTTGGGCTGCTACACCCCATAAAACCGGAGCTCCTGTTGGGGTGAACAAGGGAGCTGACCCTATTAGAGCAATTCCCCGGTGTGATGCCAACATATGCCGGGGAGCTGTAAAATCCCAGAACAGCCCAGAACGTGGGAGTCGGGAAGGTGACGACAAAACTCATGCTTTAACCCCCTGCTGCCAGGCTGGGGGACACCCGAGCTGATGTTCAGCATCCCCCATCTCCGGGCGGTGTGCGTGGGGAAGGATTGTAGGGCCAGCTGATCCTCCCTTCTCCCTCTCTGCCTCTTCCCCTTTCCATCTTTCTGTGCCCCCCCCAGGGGTGCAAGAGGGTCCCTCAGCTGGGGAAAGAGGTCCCCGGGAGGAGGCTGGGCTCTGCCCTCGCTGCAGTCACCATCTCTCCCCCGATCTCTACTGCGGTGAGAAGTGACAGATTGATTTTACAGCTCCGCTTGGAGCCGGCCGCTGGCCCTGGGCTGCGGATGAATCAGCTTTCTCTGGGCCTTGGCTTTTATTTCATTATTTCCCTGCAACTTCCTCGCAGGCAGCGAAAGAGAGAGCGAGAGGGAGAGACACCGAGCTGGCAGATTTCCTTCCCTGCTCGTGGAGCAGGGAGGGGAGGGATGGTTTTGGGGAGACTGACAGCTGTCAGCTACAAAGGCAGGAATTCCTACAAAGGCACAAGTTTCTCCATCGGTTCCTGTGCCGTCCTGAAGAGCAAGAGTGAGCTCAGCCAAGGCTGGAGCAGCGAATCCCCCTATGGCAGAAAGGCTTTGGGTTTTCCAGGGCTGGTGTGGAGCCACGGTGGGGCAGTTCAAGCCCTCAAAGGCTCCACTGGCAGAAACCAGGCTGGAAAAACCAGTGTCCCAAGGAAGAAACGCAAAGCGCAACAAACACGTTTGTTTCTACATCCCCGGACATCGTGTCACTGGCTGCCCCAGTCCCACACGTATCCTTTCTCTCTCCACCTGCCTCTGAGCAAGGATCAGAGAGCAGCCTTGAAGACGCTCGAAGCGTCAGAAGGCAAGGGCCTTTTCATCTCAAAAGATCAAGAGGTGGGAGGGGAAAGGGGAGGGGAGGGAAGATGGGGAAAGCCGGAGCCAGGTTTCCCAGAGGTCTGCCCCAGCAAAGTCCATCTCATCCACTTTGAGTAATCTTTTAATCTCTTGGGTTTTAATCTCTCACAGCAAGAACGAGACACAACATTACGAGGAGCAGAAATCCCAGTGGGAAGGGAGCTGGGGGTGATGAAGGAGACAAAAAGGTCACTTGTTTCTAGGTCTTCTGCACTGTTCCATTTCTCCATTTCTCTCTCCCCCTCTTCCTATTTTTTTTCCTCTCTGCTTACAGCGATAATCTAAATAGTGACCTGGCCGGCACAGAAAAATGCAGGGAGCCTGGAGAAAGGGCAGTGCCATGGGCTCGTGCAGGGCAGGTCAAACCCTCCCATGGTGACCACCTGCAGGGCATGGAGGCACGAGGCTCAGCACCCCACAGAAAGCTCTTTTAGAGCCAGAGGTGAACGCTACCAGCTAGGTCTGTCCTTGACACAGCCGGGGTGCCCCAAAGACGCCAGCTCACCCCTCGCTGAGAGAGGAGGGATGGCTTACAGGAGGACCAGGGGGGAACCGGTGGCACCGCTCGCCTCGTCCTTGTCTCAGCTTCCCCATCTGTCCAATCCCGTGGATAATAATCCCCACCTCGGAGGGTGATGGTGCGAGGTTAATGAATTAGTGTTCGCCAAGGCTTCAGATAAAAGGCGAAGGATTACTCCTGTTGTTCTGCATGGAAACTGCTCCTAACGAGCACTTCCCACCTCCTCCCTCCCGCGAGCCTGGGGGATCGTCTGACACAGATCCAGCCACACAGGAGTTCCCCCAGAGATGGGATTACAGGGAGAGGAGCAGAGAGGGCTGCCGGAGAGACAGTAAGAAGGGGAGGACAAATTGGGGGCACTCCAGCAGCCAGCAGCCCACGCCGGGCTGTGGGGCCAGGAGCACTCGCTCTCTGACCAGCAGTGACAGCTCCATCCCACTCCCACCGAAATTCATCAGGAAACGGTCTGCTGACTTCTGACCACAGCAAGCCAGCCCCTCCTCCTGACTTTCCACGGCTATTGACTGACCCGAGATACTTGCACAAGACGCATTTGCTTTAAGGGAAGCTCAGTCCCGAAAGGAGACTTCTGTGCTGCTGGCTTGGGGCAAGGGGAGAAAAAACAACCCAGAAACACACTCCCTCCACAATCAGGGGAAGAGGTCTGGCTGGGAGAAGATTTCGGTGTCTTAAATCTTGTGCACGATGTTTTCCAGGCTGGAGACGGGAACTAAATCCAAGCAGGAGTCTTAACTTTATTGTGTATCTCTGCCTTATACACAAGCATAACCTCAAGAGAGCAAAGCCCTCCCTAACTCGCCTGCTATAAATACACTGAACCACTTAAAATGGCTACATTAAAAGAGAGCTGGTAATTTGATAGTGGTCTCCACTTAATTAGATTAGGCTCTTCTTGAACTCGAGGGCTGCAGGCTGCTGATCCGGCTTTCTTTTTCAGTATTACCCTGTCGTCTGCCATGCTGATGTGGCCATCGATCCTCCCGCCGTGCTTGGTCCTCAAGGGATGCTGAAAGGGGGGGACCAAGAGCTGTTGTCAGGCAAGGACCAAGCAGAGCACTTAAATTTGTGTCCCTACCCCTGCATGAAGTGCCACCTTGATGGAGCAGGGCAAAGCTTAGGGGCAGCTGGGATCGGGAAATGCCACTGGGATGAACTTGCCAACAGCTCCTGTTCACTGGTCAAGCAATGTTCTTGGCCTTCCTTGCCACGTTCAAACTCTTTCACCTTCACTTTCCACAATTTGTGTGTCTATAGCTCGAGGAAAAGCTGTGCTATCACGTCTGGGGTAAAAGGCAGCCCCTCCACGCTGCAACGTGTGGGCATTTGCGCCTGAGCTAGGCAAATAGCCAACAACACGGTGAGTCTCCCTAGCAAGGAAGAGCAAGGGACCAGAAGACAGCACTGCCTTGGTTTGTCCTCAGGAGACTAGAGCAGATGTTAACAAGACACAAACACAGCCAGAAGCTTTTTCAAGGTACCTTGTTTTCACGATTCCTCCCTTGGAGAGAGGTGACCTGTTTGTAGGTTACTGGGGCTAGATGTCGGAGGCTGTAGCTTGAGCATCGCTGCGAAGAAGTCACCTGGAAGGGAGAGGTGAGCTTGTTGTGGTCCTGGGGCAGGGGATGGACCTGGCGAGCTCTTGAGGGACATGTCAAACCTCCCCAGAAACGCAGGGAGCCAGCCAGTACCTTTAGCAGGAGTCCCGTGCTGCTCTCCCTGGAGCCTGGTCCAGTTCTCACTCGAACCCAGGCTAATTGTGGCACTGCTCTCAAGCTGCCCAGTTGGGTTGACACCTTTCCCACCCAGCTCCTTCGGTCCCTGCTCAGTGACCTTTATTCTGACCCTGTCCTGCACGAGATGCCCCCTCCACCCAGTCTGGAGAACTACAACCCCCAGACCTCGTCCTCTCCACCAACAATGGAGGAAGTTGGCTTTAATGACAGACAATTTGCCATTCAATATGTTTTTAATTAATACTAAAATCTGTGTCAGGTTGTTTTGTTGTTGTTTTTGGTTTACCAAAAAAAAAAAAAAATCCTCTCTCTCTTTGTTATTTATTCGTTTCGATTTTTTATTTTACCTCGTTAATGTAGTGGTGATTTAGATGCAGTTTCCTCTCTCTGCTGCACTTAATGAGTCGTCAGCTTTATTCACTCTCACCCGCATCCTCATGGGAGCATGCTTTGATTTTCTAGTGGGTGCATGAAAACACAGATTAAAGCAATTAGACAGAAATAATCTTAGGGAAAGGGGAGAGAGATCCAGAGCGCCTAATTATACCATTTTAATCAAGACACAATTATGCAGAGACTTTTATAGATTATAAATTAACCAAACTCCAAAGGCAGAAAAAATATCATTTTAAATATGGTTCATTATGCTTGTTGTTTCTGCCTTGTGATCTCTCCCAAACTGGACTTCAGGGTTCATTTGGAAGAAGTTCTGGACGGAGTTTGGCAGAAATGGAAGAGAAACAGGCACGGGAGACCCTACCTGCTAGGACCGGGATCTGGCAGTGGTGTCTGGGGGAAGGCAGGGAGCCACGTCGGAGTTTCACACTCACGGATCTCACCTGTCTTTTCCCAAAAAAAAGCACATCTGCCCGTGGGCCAGGCTTGGCAGATCTCCAGCTGCCTGCGTGGCCAGGTAAGGGGACCCCATGGAGACGTCTGGGTTTTGTTTTGCCCTGATGGACTGTGCCAAACCGGCGGTGAAGGACTGTGGGTACTGTAGTCTGAGAAGCAATTTCCCGAGCTGCAAACATCCCAATTAAAAACACAGTGAGTGGGCAAACAGAGCACATCAGGCTGGATGTGTTTTCTTCGGAACCCTGGAGGAACTTCAGCCAGCTGCTCCCGATTTATCGCTGCTCCAGATTTATTGCAGCACGGCAGCGAGGCGCTCAGGCTCTCCGAGCACGTAGGAAGGTGCTCAGCTCCTGTCGCCTCTGCAGAGGAGCCAGGAGACCCCCCCACACACACCCTCACCATCCCCCAAAATCTCCAGGGAATCCCGGGTTCCCAAGTAGCTTCTGCCAGGCACCTCGCCTCCCTCGCAAGGATGCTTGGGCTTCACCAGACCCCTCTCTTCATTGCTGTGGCCGCCCCACACCACAAGCAAAAGAGCCACATCGCACCCATGGTCTCCGAGGGAGTGGAAAACCCATGGGGAGCAGGGGGGTCCCTGGGACATGTCCCCTTTGCAGCCTCCTCACCCATTTCCCCTTCCCCTTCCAGTACTGACGGACGCAGGGCTGCAGGCTTGCACGTTGATCCCATTTGCTTCTTACACCCAGAGCAAAGCCGAGGTGGGCTACAGGGCTTTGGGGCTGGCCCCATTCCCCGGCCCAAGGGCTGTGTCCAGCGGGCGAGCGGCAGTATCGGAGTGCCCTCTGCTGGTCCCATTTCTGGACTGGCTGGACTGTCCAAGCCTTCCACATCCCCAACCTCACTTATGTACATCCTCGCCGCTTCAGATGACTTTCCCCGGTGCTGGAGCAAAGCATCCCGGCCATTCGCCCGCTGCAACGTGCACGCCTTCATTCTTCACCCTGAATTCTCCTCCAGAGCTCCCCTGGAGATCTCCCCGTGTTTTGGCGACCCCAATCTGCCGCACAAAACGGGTAGGGGAGGCTGGGCTCGTCCCACAGGACGGCCACGCGCAGACCTGCCTGTGGGGTCCCAGGTTGTGCCAAAAAACCTCCTAGGACTACGCAGGCAGAGCAGGGGTCTGAAGTGCCTGTGGGTCTGTGCTGATTTACACCAGCAGAAAACCTGGCACGCTCTCTCTCTGGTCTCCAGAGCTACAGAGGTGACCTTCTCTTGCTATCAGCATAGAGGAGAAGGAGGGAGAGATTACAATCCGAGGAGTTCAGGGTCTTCTGTGGAGCTGGTCACTTTGTGCCTTGGTATCGAAGCCATTCAAGCAGGATAACACTGACCTGACAGACGAGACGGGAGCTAATTAGCAGTTCTCTCTCCAAATTCCTTCCCAGCTCCGGCGCTGCAGAAGTGCTGAGTCCCGGGTCTGGTTACCCCCTAGAGAGATGGTTAGCTGGGAACGGGTGGTGGAAACTGGGTTACCTGGGGAGGTGGCGTGGGTTTGAGGCCGGGGTGCCGTGCTGAGGTTTTGGGGAACAAAAGAGGGAGAGGTGCAGTGGGGTCCCAGGTGCAGGGAGTGCCAGGGGGTCTGGAGGAGCTGAGGGGATCTCCAGGTGAGTCCTGGAGGAGGGTCCCCGAGAAGAAAATTATTCCTGTGTGTCACGGGTAGGCAGCTGAGCCTGGTGAGGCTACTTGTAAATATTACGAAATAGCAACAACAACAACAAAAACGCACACAAAACAAACAAAAAGAAAAGGGAAAAAAAAAAGCCACACACACGCACATAGGCAGGGGAAGGAATTTGTTTTTAAAAGAGCAAACAAAGGTGTTCTGCAGCCTCAGCAAGTGGAACCATGCTGTGAACTGCCCTGGAAGAAGACACGGAAATTGCTTAGATATGCAGTCCGACAAAAAAAGCTTCCACATGGGCCTGGCACATGGTGTAGCCACCCTCACTGGGGCTGCTTCTGGTCCTGAAATTCAGCTGTCTGCCAGGGAAGGAGCTAGGAAATAGCATTCTTCCCTGGCCTTGCTGAGTGTAATGCATGGAAGTAAACTATGATGGCATCAAAGGTGGAGCGAGAACTGGGCTTTCCATCCCCTCAGCTTTTCCCCAGACCCTGCTGAAACCACTGCCCTCTCTCCCCTTCCCCCAGCCATCTAAATATTGAACCCCCAACAGCGTTGAGCCATCCTCTGCTCCTATTAACCCAAAACGTTGGAAGAATCACAGGCCAGAAAAGGCTTTGTCTGGTTAAAAACGAAATGTCACTTTACAGAGGACAACTCCAGCCTGACAGAAAGCCCCTTGCCCCTTCCAAACAATTTGTGAGCTCCTCTGGATGATGTAGTGCAGCTTGGAGAGGGACCAAGGTGGAACACAACTGCTGTTCTTCCAGACCCTTCTACAAAATCCCAACTTGCTGTAGTCCTTTTACCCTGTCCAGTTTTAAAAGGCAACAAAACAAGTGAAAGATGATCAAAAACTCCTTCCTTTCTCCTCCCTACTGGAACCCAGATGCTTACGGTGCTGGCTTGGATCCCATCCTCCATGCTACCCTGGCTAAATCCCAAGCAAAGCAGTGTCAGGCTGGGAGTTCCCTGAGATCCTGTAAATTAAAATGGCTTTCTGCAGTTGAAATTGATATCCCTTTATCCCAGACTGGATCACTTCCAAGTATCACAGAAGTCCTCGGCAGGTTTCTTCCCCTTTAGGTACCAGATCCTACCAAAAAACATCAATGCACGTTATTGGTGTCCTGCAGCAAAGTGTTGGGGACCTTCTCTGGGGAGATCTCAGGGACACACCAGCCTGCAGAGCTCCCAGGGAGAAGCCACCCGGACTGGACTCTTAGGACAAGAGCAGAGAGATGGAAATCTGCACTGGGTTAGTGGACTGCATCTCTCTGCAAGCTCCCTCTTCCCTCCAGGCCTTCTGCCCCGTTCCCATGTTGGTGGGCACAGACCGTGATGGAAACGAAGACCAGAGTTCTTCTGAGACATGGGAACTGCTTTTATGAGAGCCCTACGCCATCCAACCACCCATCAGCCAGTGATTCCAGCTGCCAGTATCTTTAATTCCTTCACTGCGATGGTTGTTTGCCTCCACCACCCTAAAAGTTCCTCCTTACATCAGCTGGAAGGCAAGGGGAAGGCTGTGAACCAGTTACGTGCCCTGCAGAGGATCCCAAGTTTTCCCTCAGCTGTAACGGGGCTCCCCAAAAATAAGCACCAAAAATACACGGGTATTTTGAGCTTAATCTCAACATGCAGAACTCCACGGCACAGCCAGCTCTCTGATACGCTCCCAGCGTTGTGGAAATGAGCACAGAGAAACCAACAGGAGAGGGAGTGGAAAAATAATCACAATAAAAAGAGAGGAAATCAGTTGAATACATACATTCGAGGGCAGCGGAGACATGAAGAGTACTGTGGAGATGCAGAGCAGGGAAAAAGAGAGCAGATGAAATGATATTCACTGAGAGCTGGCTATGGGAAAGGAAAGGGGAGGGAGAAATACAGAGGGAAGGGCACAGATGCAAGGAAAGAGAACACAGGGCAGAAAGAGAAGGGGGAAGTCAGAGAGGGAGAAGGGGAGGGATCTGGAGGGATTGCTTGATGTCAAATCTGATAGAAAAGAGGATTTATCTGCAAAAAATAACCCAGATCTAAGCTACAGTTTCAGAGCAGCTGCACACAGAGCTGTAGCGCTGTGCGCTCGTTCTGAAGTGAGGAGCAAAAAAAAAATAATAAACCAAGGGGGCTGGTGCAGGTTGAGAGCCAAGGCAGAGCCGTGCCACACCAGGAGGCTGCCCGCCAGCCTGGGCCAAAATCAGGAGAAGGAGAGGGAAGGGAAGGCAGGGGAAGGGAAGATGAGGTGAGGTAGGGGAAGACAAGGCAAGGCAGGACCAGGCGAGGTGGAGCAGACCCGACCCTGTCCATGGTGCTGAGCTGGGGGCTGGCTCCGTCCCAGGGGCCACGGAATCCCAGGGAATGAGCCGAGCAGAGGGGAAAGAAACATGTCATCAAGAAAAACATAAAAAGTATTTTTCCTCTTCCTCGCTCTGGCCAATAATTTTGGGTCTGGGCTCGTTAAGGGCAGGGCTGTGTGAGTGGGGGTGAAGCGTAAGGACCAGACATCCTATTGTGCTTTTGGTGAGGAGGTTTCTCTCCGTGGCCTTGAGGCTTACAAAGGGTTTAGCCTGAAAAGTGACTATGAAACCTCTTTATTCCAAAATCAACCCGGTAACAACCTGGTTTTCCAATGCGACACCAATAGTCTGTAGCAGAACAGTGTGGTTTTGGTTGGAAGAACATCCATCAGAAGGGTTTTAAGGTAGCTGGCCCTGCTGCAGCCCCTTGTGTCACCAGACTAATAACAACAAAACCATTTCTTTTCTCGTGGTTTTGGCTGGATAGAGTTAATTTTCTTCGTAGAGACCCGCACAACGCCGTGTTTTGGATTTTTAATGAAAACAGTGCTGATAACACACCAATATTTTTAGTTATTGCGGAGCAGTGATTGCACAGAGCCAAGAGCTCTGCTGCTGCTTCCACTGCCCTGCAAGTGAGGAGGCTGGGGGTGCACCAAGAGCTGGGAGGGGATAGGACCAGGAGAGCTGACCCAACCTGGCCAAAGGGTTATTCCGGACCGTATGGCATCGTGCTCAGCAATAAAAGCTGGGGCAAAGAAGGAGGAATGGGAGGGACGTTGGGAATGATGGTGCTTGTCTTCCCAAGAAAACATTACATGTGCTGAGTCCTGCTTTCCTGGAGGTGGCTGAGCACTGCCCAACACCTGCCTTGTAGTGGGAGGACGTGTTTCTTCCTGCCACAACTCTGTGACAGCAAGCACAGTGCCATAATCCCCCTTCTTCTGCACCGCGGAAGGCAAAATGCTGGGTCCAACTCCTGTCATCAAAGCAGACCAGGGAGCCTCTATCCCACATTTCATAGGGATGTGCAAGCCGTCCCCATTCGGGGGGATGCTTAAAGCAAGGGAAATGCACCAGGAGGAGTCAGATAATCCCAGCACGGTCCCAGGCCAGCCAGGATGAGCCATGAGCCTCGTGGCATCCCCCCCGGCTCAGGTCTGCTTGGCTGTGCAGTGCCCAGCAGCTGGCTGGCTGAGCAGCCGCCCCTCTCCTGCGGGCCAGCACCGCGTATCTAAGTCAGAACATTATTTTCCAGTTCTAGGAAATTGGATTAAGGGTCAGAGAATCCCGACTGTTATTTACCTTTGATTAAAACCAGCCCTCCTCCTCCCTCCTGGGCTGGAGAGGCCAGCGTTGCTGTTATTTACTCTGCTGCCAAACCTGGAGTTCAATCCCTGCCCTGCGGCACTCAATAAAAGCCAAGGCGGAGGCAGGGGGGTGTGCGGCAGGCGGGCAGGGGGGGGCTGTGTGGGTGGAAGGGGAGCGATTATCCAGGCCACTAAGTTCAGGTTGTTTCTTTGGCAGGCAGGCTCTGCCTCAGCAGCACCCAGGGCCAGGGGTGCTGGCGGTGCCTGCCCTGCTTGCCCCCGTGCATCTCTCCTGGTCCTCTCCCCTCACCGCCCTCCTGCTCTCGCTCAGCTCCTCGTTTTCCTTTACCTCCTTCTCTCCCTCATCCTCCACCTTCATTTTCATCTTCCCCGCTCCCCAGAGCTCTTCCTCACCTCCCTGCCTCCCTTTTCCTCTCCCCCTTCCCACCCTCTCCCCCCCACCTCCACTTTTCATTCCCCTCCTTTCCCTTTTCCCCCCCCCACCCTCCGAGCAGCCCGCTATTCCAGGACAATAGAGCAGATGGCAGGCTGTTTGTTTTAGATGTCCCTTTGGAAAAGCAGCTCAGCTGTTGAATCTGCCACTTTTTCTAAAAACAGATACCGGCCAACATTAGCTGGATGCTGGGAAAAAAAGAAAAAAAAAAAAAAAAAAAGGAGGGGGGTGTATGAAGGGGCCCTGCTCCCCCTACCAACCGCTCCGAGACCTTGTCTGCCTGCACCCCACTGCAGGTCTTTGGGATGCTGGTCTCTGAGAGCTCAAGGAGGAGTTTTCTCTGCCCAGCATACAAAGAAAAAACACCACAAATGGAGAGAGTTTGGCCAGCCTCCGCAATCAGCCTCGCTGCAGCCAAAGCTCATTGCAATGTGGGAGAGGTGGGGTGATGACTAAGGGCCAGGGTCTTTTTTTTTTCCTTTTTCTTTCCAGTTTTCCCCATTTTTCATTGAACCCCTAGTTCTCAAGTGCCCAATCTTCAGGCCAGCATTCAACACTTGCCATGGAGAGGGCATAGATTTCCTCCCCGTGTGCTTATCTTCAGCTCCTTCATGGCATTTTTGGATGGAGAGGGACCTTTGTCCTCGATCCCTGCTCCTCCCTATCCCAAACACCATCTCGTCACCCCTGCTCTGCTGTGGCAATACTGTCCCATCGGTCCCCTAAGCCTTCCCCACCACATCTCTGCTTCTACAGGCTTAGGGCAGCCCTGTTTCTCTCTCTGTCCATCACCAAGAACAAGCTGGCCTTGGCTCGTGACCAGGGCTGTTGGATTCTCTGCAAAACAACAGAGATTTTGTGGCATTTTCTCCACGGGATGCACTGCAGCCAAAGGCACCAGCTGCAGGTTCTCCCTTTGCCCCTCTCCTGGGGGTGGCATGGGGAAAGCAAGGTTTCAGCATAACAGCATCCTCTCCCCATCCAATTTCCCTCTGCAGTTCCACTTCTTTTTCTTGTGTTGGAGAAAATCAACACCGTCTTCTCTTCAAGCAGCGGCGGAAGGGTCAGGGCCATCAGATCCACACACAAAGCGCTCTTTTTAATTTGTTCTCCAAGTTCACTGTGAATCAGATGCAGCTACCAGCAAAAAACCAAGGGAGGCTTGACCGAGGAGCAGTCAGACACAACATCTGAAGAGGCTCCTTAGCCTTGCAAAATCCTGGAAGGCAATTTGAACACGAGAGATAGGCAAGCAGCCCGTTCTCGGGGTCTGTAATTAATCACACGCAGTTCAAACCGGGAGACAGATGAGTTCCCGGCTTTCTTGGAGTCCAAGCTGGATCAAAGAAGAGCGACAAAAAGCCCAGGCTGTCAAGGAACAGCCTCCAGGAGGCAACGCCAGCTGAGCCACAGCGGCTCGGCCCTCCTAGTGCAAGCAGCACCCTAGGAAACAGAGATTGTCCCCACCGGGCTCCCTCCTGGAAACTTCAATCTCTGACTCACAGGTATTTTGGGGCAGAGGGATTTTACCAGCTCAGACAGAGCCTACCTCTCCTCACCGCGAGTCTCGGTGCCTCTAAGCAATGCAAAGCAGTGACTGACACCTCGCCCTGCAGCAGCGAGTCCTGGGGTTGAGTTGCACGTGGAGCCCACTGTTCACGGAGGACAATAAAGGAAAGAGTGAGCCATAGAGCACAGACATGGGAGTTTTGTCACTATGGATACAGAAACGGGAGATCAAAGCATTTTTTTTCAGGTTCAGCTGAGAAACGGGACCCAATCGCCTCGCTGTAAACACGAAATTAGGGCCCGGGAGTCAAAAACAGGTGTGCAGAGCCCTGGTGGCCAGCGGTGCAAAAGGACAAGGCAGCCGTCTTGTGGGGTTGTTCGGGGAAAACAAAAGACATAAATGAGTGAAAAATGCTGTTGATCCCACCCCGGGACTGCCTGAAGAGCCTTCATTGTAAGTACGGGCACAGGGAGACTCAAAATTAAAAGGCCAAATCCTCTGCAAGGAATTGAGTATAAATGGCAGATGAAAGCATGTCAGCTTCTCATAAATAAACAAAGAAAAAGAAGAAAGAGAAGAGGTTTGGGGCCAACCAAACCAACTGTGGGGCCAGGTCTCCCTTTTCCCACTCTTGCTGGGCAGCCCCCAGATCACCACTTTCAACGCACAGCTTCCATTCCCATGTCCACCTCCAAGGCTCCTCTTGGTGGCTCCATCCCTTCCAGTCTTTCCCCATGCCCATTTCTCACCTTTTGGCTTTTGTTCAACAAACCGTTAGTCTTTTGGAGGCTGAATCTTCAGCAAAAGAGGCCTGGGGAGAGAGCTGCGGCTGCAGCCTGGGTACAAGCCTGGTACATCTCGGAGAGGCACAGAAATGTGTTTTCCTTCGGCAGCAGAGCTGTTAAGAGGAGTTGGCACCAGCGAGAGAAGCATTGTCTAGCATTGCTATTCTTCTCCCTCTCCCCTTCAAGCCTTTAACAACAACGGCAGTTTCCCACCTATTTCAACTAACTTCTCTTTTTCCCCTGAAGAAAGGAGAGTCATTAGCATTTTTTACACTGTCAAATAGGGGTTCCCTTATAAAAATTATTCACAGCTAAGGGGAAAGCATTAAAAAAAAAGGGCATTGTTAACATGAAAGCCTCACTTAATACTTTACATTTCAAATACTGTAACTAGCTTTTTTTTTTCCCCTCCTTCCCCTTTCTCTGAATCTTCCGTACACAGCTTAAACATCATTAATAGCATTCGTTGCTATGGTGTTGGGCAGGCTGAGGTCTCTCTACTTGAAATCCTGAACTACACTTAATGCTGTACAACAGCTGGGTCAAGCCAACACCTTTGACTTTGACCCCTTTTTTTTTTTCCCCAGTAAAATCAAAAGACCACTTCTCCATCCCTGTTAGTTCTTGGGATATATATATATTTTGTACTGCAACGAGAAATGGGAATGTGAGAGAGGGAAAGAAAAAAAAAAAGGAAAGACAAAAAGAAAAACACAACATTTTAATTGGCTCAATGGAGCCTTTCCAAAAACTTTGACTGTTACATCAGAAAATCATGAAGGAGAATAAAAAAAGACCGTCCCCTGAAAAGTTTCACAGAAGATTGTTTCTCATTTTCCCAAGCAGCTAAACATTTTAATAAACTAGGAAAATGAGACTGTAAAACCACAACATCTGACAGCAAGCCCCAGGGGCAGGAACCATTCCTGAAACTAATTTTAACTCAGGTTTTAACGTTGATCAGATTTCAAGAGGAGAATGTCCCCTTAAGCTGTCTCTCTGTTCTTAGAGAAACCCTGGGTGGGTTGTGCTTTTTTTTTCGCCAACTCTGAGAAACAATTTTCTTTGCAGCACGTTGTCGTCACAGGCATAGCAGGACTTTTCTGTCAGTTGTTTCCCTACAGCCCAAGAGATGTCCTGCCCCAGACAGATTCTCGTCTCTTCTCGGTTTCGTTCTGAGACCTTTCCCGCAGAAGTGGCATGGCTCCAGCAGCAAAGCCTGGTCTTAAACCCATCCCCATGTGGCTGCTCAAGGACCCGACCCGTTTAACATCTGATCTTCAGCCGTGCAGAAGGCACCAGGCCAATTCAGACCAGCTGAGGCCAGGATCAAATGCAAGCTTCCAGTTTCTTCCCAGGGAAGCGAGTGTGCTGGACCAGCTTCTTCTTCCCCAGGCACCCGAATCTCATTGTGTTTTAACCACCATCAGGGCATCTACAGATAGGGCTGGCATTTTAACGCCACAACTCAATTAACAACACAGTTGTGAACTTGAATGGGCAAAAAACAAAACATCCAAGTAGTGTAGGTTTCTCTTGAAGACTCCCATTTCTTCTCATGGAAACATTTTTTGTCTTCTGGATAAGCTCAAACAAAATCATTCGCCCTTTGGGCGGGACTTCTTTGTGCTGCAGCTTCCTTCTAAAACCCGGCTTGTCTCTATTTTGAGCTCCATTTCACGTAGCTGTGTGAGCCCAGTGCTTTGCAGTTTTCCAGGAATGGTCAATGGCATCAAGTAGCCCCTGCCCCTGCTCAGCATGATTCTCCAGTTCAAAGGCACGTTGTGCAGGAGCAGAAAGCAGAGCTCTCTGCTGCTTCACAAGCTGCCTAATGCCCGCAAGAATGACCAGGCTGGAAAACAGCTCCGCAAACGCCTGCTTTCTTCTTCGCCAGTAATTAAAGTGCTCATTTATTTCTAGGTCCCTCCTTGCTGAGGTAGAAGGTATTTCTGATGCCTTACCTTTAAGCTTTGTGCGTGCTGTGTAGGGGATGCTGTTGTTTGGGGGGTGAGGGTGGGATGGGGTGACAGGGTGACCCGTTTTTTGCATGGTAGAGGCACAGCCAGAGTCCCCCTTGGCTCCTCCAGCCCACCAGCAGGCTTAGTCAGATCAGCAGCATCAAAGCCGAGCAGCTCTTTGGAGAAAGGGCATTTGTTCTTTCATCCAGAGATTACAGGAATCTCTCACAGATCCCAGCAGCCTGTTTTGAAACACTCTTTAAAGAGAAATACCTGTTTGTGGTGCCACCTGCCATCTAAAGCAGTCTCTTCGCCCTCCAGCTTTCCTCGCAACGCTCTCCCCCAGACATTTATCCGTGTGTCCAAGGACAAAATGGTGCCAAAGTTCATTCCCCATCGAGCAGAATTGCCCAGCTTTTGTGGCAGAGATGAGGGCTCCCCGTAAATGTGCCAGAGAGCTTGTAACCTATTTGGGCCGGCTCCTTCTCCCTGTTGCGCTCAGCAGGGACAGCAGGAAGGCAGAAAGCAGCTCTTAGCATCTGGAGGAAAGAAATGCAGAGATAAAAAGCTCTTTGCCCTGCTGTTTCCATTCCTTCATGACTTAATTTTTTTTCGGTCGGGGCACAGAGAAGATTATAAAGCTGTAACCTCTAATCCGCTCCTGAGCACTCCTTCTCCATCTCTTCCTTTCTCCTCTCTTTCAGCCAGTTCTAATCCTCTGTGTCTCCTCTCTCACAGGTAGGAATTGGAGTCTAATCTCAGACGACAGGTTGGTAATTAGAGCAAAAGATTATCCTGACCCCATATCAGGAAGGTAAAAAGAGAGGAATAATGCAGGGCCATCCAAGATCAAGCCTTCAATGTTCAGTAGAGGAACCATCCTCATTTCTGCCTGTCCTACTGTCTTCCCCATTCTGCATCCTCTCCCTTGTCCTAGCCAAGGGGGATTCCTGATTTCTTGTATTTCCTGCCCATCTCCCCTCAGCCAGACAGGAACTGTGTTTTTCCAGCACTCATTCAGCACAGAAATGGTCACATTTTCCATTTCTGAAGGGAGGGCAGAGTCAGAGTTTAACTAGGCAGAGACTCGGCCAAGGGGCTGTGGCTGGGAAAAGTGGGAAATGGGGAAAGCACAAGCAGGTACAGAGGAAGGAAGCCTGCTCAGAGAGGCTGGAGCCAACGTATGCTGTCAGCGAACCCCAGCCTGGCACTGGGTACCCTGACCCAGGGCTTTTATAGTCCAGCAAGATGAATCCACAGCAGCCGTGCCCATCTCCACCCAGTCCTTGTTCTGCTTTGGCACTGATCTCTCTTGTCCCGTATCACCGGTACTCAGCAAGGACCCAAGACTGCCACAGCAAAGGAGAAGTTGGGAGCGCTGAGCTTCTTCCATGTCTCACCCCCTACAAGCACAAGGTCGGCAGGACCCACTGTAGCTGGGGCTTGGGCATCACCAGCCAGCAGCCTGCAGGCACCAGGAGGTGTCGGGGTAGAGGTGGCAGTGGAGCGATCGAAACCTGCTGGGGAAAGAGTGAAGGAGGATCAGGAGGCAGTTTTTACTGCAGGGCAAAGCTAGAGAATGGAAGACTTCTCCCTCGTGCCACATCCCACCCACACCAGATTCTGTCCCTGCATTACAGTGCCCCAGGACTGGCTGTTCATCTCACAATGTCTCGTCTTGGCACAGCAGGGCAGCCAAACCTTCCTCCAACACCTCAATCCTGCCCTGGACCTTGTAGCCTAAGCCCATGGATCACCAGCCCCCACTGCATGGTTTTCTGGATGCTCTTTTCATTGCCTGGTGGCTTCCTACCCCTGCTATCTCCAGCCACAAACTTCTTACCCATGCTCTGCAAATAGCAGCTTCAGGTTTATTCACTCAAACCAGAGAAAGTAAATCAAAGAGCGCTTTTGTTTGCGGTCATCCTGAAGTAAACCTTTTTCTTTTCTCCCTTCAATTTCCTCAGCAAAGCAAAGTAAAATAAAGCACAATTTCCTCTCCTGAGTTTAGAGGAACATTTCAGTTCCTGTCCCAGAGGTAAAAGGTTAGCTTGTTCATTCTCAGTGTGAAATAAATGGTAAAACTTTTGGCTCGGTAACTGTCCAAATAAAATGTTATGACGCTTCTTTTCTTTCCATTCACCCGATAGGGTTTTCAAAGTTTGTAAGTGTTCACAAACATCTTAATGCTGGTGTGCTCCTCACCCGATAAGCCATGTGACTGCAAGTTTTCTGCCCCTCACTCTAGACCTCCTGCACCCCATTTAGCTGCCTCCCCTTCCCAGCCTATTGTCCGACATCTCAAACCACGGAGTGGCCCAGATCACTCATGTCCCGTACCTTGAGGGATCTTCCTGCAGTGAGAAGGGACCACTGAGCTCGATAACGTTGAGCTTGTTCTCAAAGACACCATAGCTGAGTGTGACCTGCAAAGAGGGGTGGGGAGAAAGGAGCAGGGAGGGTGAGGAGGTGAGCTCAGGAGCAAGGAACTTGCTTTGGGTAACAAAAGCTCGTGTTCTTTTTCCTTCTCTGCTGGCTTGGCCTCTGCCTTCCACCTCTCCTCTCCTCCTGCCCATAATGGTCCATCACTTGAGTCCTTGGCCCTCTCCAAGCCCCCTACACCCCTTGTTATCTCCCCATGCAAGGAGGATGTGGTGCAAAGCCCCTTTCCCCCCAAATCAGCATTTCTCCACGTCCTTTTGCCATGTTCCCCCAGTCCTCCCATCACTCCCTGTACCCGTGTTCCCCACCACTGACCCCGGGCCACTGTGACTGTCACCTGTGCTGCAGGCAACCTCTGCTCCTCACTGCCTCTCCCCTTCCTCGCACACCTCTCTCTCGTTCCGTTTTCCCTGCTCACCTGCTGCGTGAGGCGGGAGGTGGGGATGAGCTGCAGGTTCTCCAGGTGGGAGTGGAAGAGCGCGTTGGGCAGCAGCTGCCCACCAACTTTGCACTCGATGATGTACCCCATGGTGCAGTCATCCGGCAGGCGGATGAGCTCTGAAGTTTTCAGGAAGTTCCTGCCGCTGGAAGAGAGCAGAGCTGGGTGGGTTAGGAGAAGAAGGTGGGGAGATACAGGCAACCACTTCACAGAAAACCGGAATAAACCTCGGAACAAGGCAAGAAATCCCCCAGTCCCACCTGTAGACGTAGGAGTGTGTTTGCTCTTCAACCACACCCAGCCATGCAGTCCCACCAAGTATTTGATGCTGTCCCTGATATATATCCTCAGCGAGGTGATTCAGAGAGCTGGCAGAGGCTGTGCCGAGTTAGTTCTCCAGCTGTTTGGTGAGCTGCACTGAGTCATTCAGGGGTCAGACAAGCCAGCACAAGAGAAATGGCAGGACTGCATGGCCAGGACTAGGAGGAAGAGGGAACGGGACAATCTTTCAGCTGAAATGAGCCGCTCGTTGGCTTCACCCTATTGCAGCACCACAGACTTGCTTTGATGACAGGGTAAACCTAGCTTCAGGGCTCTTGTAACTGGAAGCAGCCACATGACACAAAGCGCCGTCTACCCTAACACACCCCTCAGCTAGTTCAAATGGGTTTAAAGCCTCTTAACACAGTAGTGGCAGACTTGATGACAGATTAGGTGTTTTCTGTCCATGCCACTTTAATTTTACCCTGGATCACAGACCATTTTCCTGTCTGGGTCTAGCACAGCACATGTATCATGGCCTTCAGCTAAACCAGCAAAAACAGGACCACCTGGTGTACATCAGGTCTGTCTTTCTGGCTATGCAAAGATCTGGTTAAGGCTGGCACAGATGTTTCCTGTTGATACATGCACATACAGCCTGTTACACAACCTAGGGCATCCTGGAAAACATCTTCTTGTAGGCTGGGCTAACACAAGACCCCAGGACCTGTTCTCTGTGCATCAAGATGAGGAAATGACAGTGGCCACTGTAAGAGGGTTTGGGGTGGGGAAACGGAAAATTAGTTCAGGAGGGAGGCAGAGGAGATTGGAAAGAGGAAGAGCGAGGGGAGATACACAGACAGGGAAAGCACTTAGGAAAAGAATCAGAAGAAGCTGAAATAAAAGGGAAGGAGGGTGGGGGAATAACCAAGAGCTGAAAGGAGTTGGGGAGGAGGGAGTGCGTCATCCTATGATCACGTCTGCTGACGTGCCTGCTGTTGTCTCTTTTTAATCAGGTGGGAGACCCACCCACTACATCCTTCCTCCAGTCCCACATGCTTACAGATTTGAAGCGTGTGGCACTCTGCACCCTTGCAAACATCCTTGCAAGCATCACAGACACAAATCCAGATTTGATGCTGCCAGGAATCGCTGTGTGTCTGTGTTCCTAATCCCCAAAGGCTCATATACCCACCAGCTGCACGGCTCACCTGGCCCAAGGCACCATCTTGCTTGCCAGCTTGCGGCTGATGCAGAACCCGGCCCCTCCTGTGGCAAACCAGAAGTGCACGGATTTCTGGAGAGAAACAGCAGAACAAATCAATGGCAGAGGCTCAGAGGAACATCATGCTCCTGGAGATGGGAATGCTGGAAACCCAGCTTTGACACAGAGATAAACAGAGCCTTATTGTCACCCCAAAACTGCTGCCCAGAGGGACTTGTTAGTAGTACAACACCAATTTTGATCTCACATGGCTGGGAAGCCAGGATGAGCAAGGCTGCTCACATGGCACTCTGAGCTCAAAGAGAAAAATGAGCAAGCAGAGGCGGAGAGACCACTGGCCAAATCACATCGTGCATGCTAAGGAAGGCTAGCTGGAAATCCAGGCTGAGTTCTGCCAGCCTGCAGGGCTGATCCATCCCAAGGCAGGCTGATCTCCTTGCAGATGGGTACCCAACGGAGCAGCAGCACCATGAGACATCACTTTCCCTTCCTCTAGGTAGACTGGAGTGAGTCAATGCACGTTACTGCGTTCAGACAGGACCAGCGTGTTCTCAGCTGATGTCTCTTGCTCCTGGGACCTTTCATCAGGGTACAGCTGATGAGCCACAGTATTAAATAAAACATACCGTCTGGTTGTTGGTCAGCGTTTCGGAGGCCCGGATGGGTCGGTTCAGGCTGGGTTTCCCCAGGTAGACATCCCGCGTCGGGGAGTAGGAGGACAGCAGCTGCAGGAGGGCCTGAGGGTTCAGATAGTTGTCGTCATCCAAATGGCAGAACCAGCTGGAGGGAGACGGGAGCGAAGACACAAGAGGATGGCAGTAAGGAGGTGCAGGCAGCCCCGTGGGGTTTCCCTCAGGCAGCAGCCCCAGCTCACCTCCGGCCGCTGGCCAGGAACGCGTCGAACTCTGCGGCCATCTTGCAGGAGAGGGCCGGGTGGCTGTGCTCAGTGGAGCAGTTGGTGAACACCACATGGTCACCTGCGGGGAAAAAAAAAGGCTGGGGCTCAGGGCTGGCCCACATGGCCACGGAGAGGACCTCTGGGCAGGAGGGAAGAGGTTTGCTCATGCCCAGCTTCCTCTCACCCCCCCAATCCAAGCCTGCCATGGTGTGGGCATCTCCCACCTGCTCGCCTCTTCCCCCATCAACCCCAAGTTCACTCCACACAACCCTTCTCTGAGCTCTAACCCAAACCATTTTGTGATTCTTATAGCTAGACTCCACCCCACAAATGGTACAGTAAGGACAAGAGCTTAGTCATCAGCTCAGCACTCTACTTTCCCCTTGCCACCACTGCACCTCACAGAGAGCAGCTCCCTTATCACCACCTCACTGTGGCCCACAGCCACAGAAGTCCCATCCTTCCCCCGACCTAGGAAAAGAAGCCAGGAGAAAGCAAAGCATCTTGCCCAAGGCTAGGTCCCCTGCTAGCTGTACTTCCACCCTGCCCATGACCAGACAAGGTACAGGGTAAGGTTTTCTCCCTGGGTGCTTGTCCTGCATGCCTAGAGCCAGCCGTCTTGCCAGCCAAAGGCCATGCAAGCTTAGAAACTGAAGGCAAGAAGAGTGAGGTGGTGATGTGGGAAAGGTGGTTACCCATTCTCCTCTTCAGGGCATCATCTTCTTCATCGGTGAAGACGTACGTCTGGGGAGATGAGAAAAGGAGGTTAGTGCCAGGCCTGGAGCTGGTGCTGCTCCTGGCCACCCACCCCAAGGCAGGCCTCGCTGCCATGTTCCCATGCCAGGCACCAGGCAGCAGAGGAACAGAGGGACAGGAGCTGCCCCACTGCTCCCCCTTCCCAATTAAAGCTCTCCAAACCCTCACAGGAGGTGCACACAGACCCCAACACTGCCCGTCGTGCCCTGCTGTTGCTTCATGCTGCTTCCTCCCCATGCACAGGATGGGCTTTGCAGGGGCTGCTCACTGCCCTGAGCAGGATCAGTGCTTCCTTTGCCACCCAACATCCCCCCGCCAGCACCATCCCTGCTCGTGTTGCTTTATTTTTCCCCCTGAAGCCTTGGGAAGAGGGACGAGAGGACCTGCGACACCAAGCAAGGGGTTGAGGGAGGCCTGGCTTTGGTGTCAGTTGCAGAAAAAATGCATGCATTGTGGTTGAACGATGCTCGAGTTGAAAGGAGAACATCTGTTTGTGTGATAAGTGTGCACAGCCCCCTGCTGCTTGCCTGCCTCCTCCTCCTCTTCCTCCACCCCCAGGCTCTCTAATCCCCCTCTCTGCCATTATGTGGCGTGTCTCCCCCTCCTCAGGGCCAGCCAGGGATCAGGGCTCGGGGAGAAAAGCTTTCCTCAGGCAGAAAATGAGCTTTCATGAAATCAAAAAGGAGGCACAAGCCTTAAACAGTCTCTCCACCAGCTGCCTGCAGGCTGGTTAAACAGCACCTGGGCAGGGACAAAAGGCACAAGGCAGATGGACACCAGCTCGTAGGAGCTGTCATTGCTCTGATGAGCTGAGTTTCTTTCCCTCTACACCTCCCTGCATCCCATGCCCCCACCAGCGAAGTGTGGGAAGAGAAATGATCGAAACATGCAAGGAAGGCAGTGAAGGACCCTCAGAGATCACCCAGCCGAGCAGAGATGGCAGGATGGGCTCACAGTCTCAAATGTCTGAGCTGCAGTGACTCGGTGAATTCCCCTCCCACAGCTGACTGCAATAACTGACCGTGCACACAGTCCTACCTGACCCCAGTGATAGACCCGCTTGGTTTAAGAAATTTCCAAGGTAATCAGAGGACAGGAAGCAATTAGCAAAGTCTCAGTGAAGGAGTTGCACTAGGTCAGGCAACTGTACCCTAAGGTTCAGGCACAGCAGGCATTCACAGTGACACGGGATTTCCCTTACCAGCACATTTAAAGGCAGAAATTTCCACCGTGACAAATAATTCATCTTAAGAAAACAGTTCCGAAACCCTTGAAACTTCCTGATGTTTTCAAAAAACAGAAATATTGTTGCTAGAAATGACTTGCTTACAGGTATAAAACCATCCAGAAATCATGTGCCTAACCAACGTCATGTCTGACTGACTTAAAATGGGGATCTGACCCTTCTTCTAGGTTTTCTATTTGTGAAAACACCCCAAGGCTCCCACTTTCCTCTTGATGTGAGGTAGAGAATGCTGTTTTAGAGACACTTGACATGCTCCTGCAGGAACCCAAGGCTGAAGGAGCATCATCACCATGGGAAATGTCAAACCCTCCAACAGAACTGGAAGAAAGGGGCTACAAGTGTGGATGCTGGGCTGGAGAGAAGCAGCCCCTCTACCATATCCACCCTCCTGTGCTCCACCAGACCATCTATGGGGCCGTGCAGGAGCAGAGAAGATGGCTGGGTGGGAAAGGGTGTCTGATGGACAGAGGTGTTAGCAGTGATAAGGAGCTGCTGGTGCCAAGGGGTTTGGACCGGCAGCTCTCCATGAACATAGGTGCCCACGTCATGGATAAACACTAGATTTTGAGGTTTCCTCAGCCCAAAATTTAGAAACAAACAAATAAAAACTAGAAAAAGGGAATAGACATGTGGAACCTGACAGTCCAGGGTCACATTAATCTCCCAGATTATCCCTTTTCCAGGAAGAAACGGCCTCCAAAATGCAAATGTGTGAACAAGGTTAATGGTGTGTCTGGGCAGAGGAGAGATTCAAAATCTACACTGCGTTCACAACACTGAAAGTGTGAAAAACTTTTGAGGATGGGTCATTCAAAGTTTTCATTTCCATCAGCTGGATGTTTGGCTTGCTGTAAGGAGGGGAGGTTGCTAGAATTCGTTTGTGTTACTGAACGAAATGCCATTTCAGACCAGAAACCGAGACTTATTTTCATCCAAACCACAAGGGCTAAGAGTTCCAGCCACTTCAAGATGCTGTCCAGCCCTAACAGCCATCAAAACTGACACTTCTGCTTAGATGAAGCCTTTTCTCAGTAATGGGCTTGAAATGATTTCTACAGCAAGTTCCAGCGAAAAGTTTGCACTGGATTAGTTCTCAAGAGAGAGATCACGATCTGGCTCCTGGAAGAGCACCCACCCTGTACTTCCCTTTCCCCACCTCCCACCAGCTGAACATCTTCTGCTTAAGCAGTGCAATTTCAAGGGAAATCCTCTCTCTCTCATTATACCCCAACAGAGTCCAACACAGAAGACTTTTAATTTGGCTCCTATGCAATCTCTCCTAATCATAAAAGGCCACAGCTGGTCCTGCCTCCTGACGCAGTCACCTAAGCCTGGCCTTTGAGGGTTACTTCCTTCAGGAGGACACCGTGCAGGTAACCAGCTCTGAAGCCAGGCTTGGCATCAGGAGCACAGCCAGCTGCCAAAATTTCCCCACTGGCTACCTGTGGAGAGGGATGCGCTGAATCAGTCTCCAGCGATGAGTTAGAGCCAGCGAGAGAGCAAGGTGGCAGGTCAGCCCTAGAAGACAGTTCCTGAACATCGGTGCTTCCAAGACCTGGGTTTTAAAGCCTATAAAAATTCATTAGTAGGAGCTCTAGCAACCTGTCCATGGCCACATGGCAATTAAATAACCTGTGCAAACTGAGAGCTCTCTCTCTCTCTTTTTTTTTTTCCTGCTGAGCAAGGGTTTCTATGTTGTCAATTTTTCAGAACTAACCCTTTCCCCTACCTCCAAGTACAACCCAATAGTTTTTTATTTGTTTGTTTGCTTGCTTGCTTTTTAAATAAAGGAAAAAAAAAAAAACTTTTAGCTTTCATGTATCTCTCTTTGCCTCTCTCCTCCTCTCCTGCCCGTACGCCCATTTAGTAAAAAAAACAGAAGAAACAAATGGAAAATTTGGGGTGAGGCGGGTAGGGGAAGCAGACAGGAGGGAAGGAAAGCCCTGAGCTTCCAACAGCATCTGATAGCAATGGAAAAGCACTTTAAAAATGACTGACCCTCCCATTCAACGCCTCACTTCCCATTCTCCTGCTCAGCTCTTGGAGCATTTCCTACTGGGCTGGCAGCAGCACAGAAAATTCACCACCTCACCCCAGGCTGGGACTTCATTTGTCTGTCAAAAAGAGACGGCCAGGTGAACATGGGGGAGCTGCTGTCTGATTCCTGCCATCTGCAGGATGGCCAGACGTCTGTCTGTCGATCACACGAGGAGGGCAAGGCCAGGGGCTCCTTGCAAACCTGCTCCAAAAGCCCTTTTGGTGGTGTTTGATGCCGGTGTGGGCACACGGTGTGGTTTGGCTTCTCCAAAGAGCTGTTGGGGCTGAGGAACGGGTGGGTGGGGAGGAGAAGTGCTTCTGGAGGAGGAAGCAGGGTATCTCAGATGCTAAGATGGACGCGCAGACAGGAGAGGAAGTGTGCCCGAAATAGGACACAGCTTCCTGTGACAACCGCAGCAGACCAGACGGTTGCAGCACCAGAAAGTGGAAAACCACCCTTACCCAGAAAACCCTGCCGTGCTTCGAGCACTCTCCTACCCGAAAACCTCCACCCCCGTCTGCCTTCTTTGCTGAGGCCTGAATTCACCTCGTTAAACCAGGGGGAGCCTCAGCGCCAAGCCTCGCAAACCCATGGCACGAGGAGGCAGAAGGCCACCATTTCATTTCGGACGGCTCCTGGAAGACCTGCGCTCCCCCTCTGGTGCGGCTGGGGCCGTCTGCGGTGTCAGTGGTTAAAGAAAATGAAAGCAAATCCCCGACACCTCAAGCCAAAAGAGTCAGGATTAGGTTAGGGGATGGCGATGCTTGCTGAGAGAGCCCACACAGGCCCTTCAACCTCTCTGACCACCACAATCTGGCCCCCAGTGGAAGCTCTTCAGCTTCTCTGGCCACCCTCCCCATCAACCAGGTACCAAAGCAACATTTTGCAGGGTAGCACCCACCATTCGGTATGAACAGAGGTGAGAGTTAGGGAAAACGAGGCAAAGGGTGGGACCGCAGTGCCCGATTTCCCCTTCCATTGGCTTTGTCCCTCCCCACGGACACCCCGTCCCCAATCCCACCGCCACGCACCCCCTCTGCAGCCCAAATCCACACGCTCACCTGCTCTCTTGCCCGGGTTATCCACGTGTCCAGGAGCAGCTCCATCCTGCTCTGGTGAAATCTCTTGGTGGTCTTCACTGCTATGAAGACGTCTCCAAGGGTCAGGCTTCCTTGGGTCCTGTATTCCTCCGGAGGCTGGATCTGCAGGTTCTGCCCCCTGCCTCCACCTCTCACGGCATCTTCTGAATTTTTTTGTGTCCATCGCTCCAGGTTCTCCAGCATCCCGTCTCTGAGCCCTGAGGATGTTTCCCCAGATGTTTCCTCAGCCCCACGGTGCCGTACGGAGAGGAGGGCCACGCTGACCAGGAAAACTGCTGCTCCAGACAGACCACGGAGGAGCCGGCGGCCCATGGCTGACGTACCTCCACCAGAACCTGCCCACGCTTCTCTGAGCCTTCTGCAGGGCAGGACGAGCCGAGAGCGAGGAACAAACAGGCTGAGGCCGAGGACTGGGGTGGGTGAAGATCCGAAATCCAAAGCGACAGCAGTCCCCGAGGAGAGAGATGAAGCGAGGGGAATTTCCACAGACCGAGGGGGGCTTGATCACCCCGCGAGGCAGGGACGTGTGGCAGGAAAACACTCCGGGGCGACTGGCGGGTGGCTGGTACAGCTCGCCAGGAGGAAAGCGAGCATCCCTGCTCCTGGTGGAGAAGACGAGGGTCCTGGGCTGGGGGTGGAGAGGGTGCCAGAGGAGATCAGAGCCATCGAGGGGGAGCCCGGACTGAAGACATCAGTTCCCCAGAAGACCCCAGCCTGCGCACCCAAGCCAGGGGCTCTGTGGTGGATGCATGGGGCCGGAGCAGGGCTGTGGGAAGGGGCTGGGTGCCATGCGAGCAGCTGGTCTGTCTGTCTGTCCACCTGCTCCCTCAGTGCAGCTCAGTCTTGCTCCCTGTCAGCCCCGGTCCCGCCTCCGGGCATGGGGCGGAGCGCCAGCCCCGGGGGAGGAAGAGGATGGAGGGTGGAGGATGAAGGGGGGCAGCCCCCAGCCTGATAGCGGGGTTTGCTTCGCCTCACCCGCTGTGCCAAGACCCCAGGCTGGGCCCTCTCGCAGGTGGCGAGCAGCTGATGTGGGGGGACAAACCTGTTGCTGTGAAAGCCCAGCTCCCCGAGGGGCTCCCAGTCCAATTTGGGGGGCCCCAAGCCCTGTTTAATGTCACGGGAGGAGGGAAGTGGGAAGGGGTGTAGGTTCAGGTGAGCTGTTGTTGGGAAGAAACATGTTTTTGCACAAAATCCCCCTGCTCCAGAGCTTTCACCACTCAGAATCCCTGCCTTTTTACCCCACATTGCCTCCCCAAAACAGGACTCTGGGTCTCCTGCTCCCCCCCATACGCCCTCTCCAAAGAACCCCAGACAAGTCCTGTAGGAAACTGGCACATCCAGCTCCTTCCCCATCTGTCCCATGGGGGTACGGGGAGGCAACCAGGATGGGGGGGGCTGGTGCCTGCACCCCCACCCCAGCTTCGGAGGCGTGGGGACAGCAGGAGGACAGCGCTCTACATAAGCTGCTGAAATCAGGGCGCCTCCTGAGGGAGCTGCAAGCTGTGGGCATAGCCAAAAAAAAAATAAAAATAAAAGGGAATAAGATGAGGGGGGCACGGCTCGCAGGGTGTGCCGTTTGACAAAGCCTCCCCCCAGCCGTGCACATGCCAGATGATGGGATCCTATAAAAGAGGGGCAGGACAGGGATCGGGGTTCCTCTGTTCCACACTCCCACCATGTGGCGGGGACACAGGGGAGACCTCCCCACCTTACCAAAACCCAGTTTCCCCAGGCCTCGTACATACACTTTGATCCCAGCCCTGTCCCTGGTTCCAGCCTTTTCTTTTGTAAGGCAGAAATCACCGAATCTGCTTCTATCCTCTCTTCTCATGTGTTTCTCCTACCCTATAAGCCCCCTGGACTTCTCCTGGAGCAAGAACATCTTCAGAGCATCTCCCATGCCCCTTCAGAGGGTCCCTGCAGGCTTTATTTTTAGACATGTTTGACTGCTGAGGCTTTCTTACACCTATTTGGGGCAGGGGGTTGTCATTCACCTTCAGGCTTTCATTTACCACAGGGACATGAAGCTGGCACGACCGAACCACTGCCACCACACCAAATACTGGGGTTGCTCCCATGGCTAGCCACTGCTCCTGAGCCAAAAATGACCCTTTCTGAGGATTTTGGCCACCCAGATGAAGCTCCAGGCAGCTTCCACGGCTCCTAAGCATCCTGCAGCACCTCCCATCCCTGTCCCAGGTCTTCAGGGAGAGAAAAGGGGGACACAGGTGGAAGAACCCCAAAAAAGCCCTTTGGGGGCTGCAAGGCTGACCCCAAATCAACCTTGGTGGTTTTGGGCAGCAGAGCAGGTCAGACCTGACCACATACAAACCAAAACACTCCTAAAACGAGAGGTGACCCCATGCTGCCGCAGCTCCCTGGGGACAGCGTGGAGAGGGCTGGTGACCTCCCTCGGGGACACACCTGCCACTAGGCCTCTGCCCTCCCCAGAGGGAGAAAATTTGCTCTCGGTGACTTTACAAGGGGGTTGTACAAGGCTCTTACAGCTGGTAATTGATGCCCGGGGCTGCTAATTGCATTCTGCCCATTTACCTAACCCGTGACTCATTCCTCAGAGCATGCAGCTGCCCCCCCCCGGGACAAAAATGAGGTGGGCTGGGGTGTGCAGGGCAGGGGGGCGTAATGTTTGCCTTGGAGCCCTCTGCCCCGTTTCTCACCCGTGTCCAGGACTAGTTGGAGCTGGATTTTGGAAGCCTCGGGGGAGACGAGCCGGATAAAAAGAGGACCTGAGGAAGGCTGGGAGCAGGCAAGGCAGTGCCGCCTAGCGCTTGGAGAGCCAGACCGTGCCGACCTGCCTCCCAACACCACCTTTCTGTGCCTCAGTTTCCCTCTTGGCACCAACCCTGATGGCCCAGCAAGGTGTGTGGAAAGGTCTGGTTTATTTTTTGGGGGGTAGCAGCTACCCAAAGTGCGGGGGGCTTGCTCTTAATCCCCTCCCAACCCTTTATGGCCAGGGTCATAAGGCTGGTGGTGGCTCCAGAGCCAGCAGGGGTAGGAGGAGCTGTCAAGATCAGTGCCTCCCGGGGCGTGTTTCCTCTGGGTACTCGAGCACTACTTTTTCCATGCTAAGATGCAGGCTCCAGCCTCCTTCCCCTGCAAACCCATCGCCTGGGTGGAGGGGGGGGCTCGCTTTGGGACCTGCCTTCTCATCAGCTCAACAAGAGCAGCGCTTTGTTTGCCTGCAGGGCACCCACCCTCCCCAGGCAGCTGTGCTGGGATGCTTCCACTCAGGAGCTCTCAGCTGGAGGGAGCTCTGTTACACCCGTCCCCTCCATCGCTGCATTGCTCCAGGGCAGATCTGGGACTTTGCTCTACATTTCAGTGACTGCAGGTTAAAGTCTTTTCTTTTTCCTTTCCTCCCCCCCCCCTCCTTCCCTCTCGTCCTCGTAAAAGACACAGGCAACTGGTTTAGAGCCTGAAATAACACCTCACAGGGGACCCCTGAAGTTAATCTTTGCTTGGAGCTTCAGAAGTGCATGGCAGTAGCAGTCCCCTAATTGCAGGGGTGAGGAGGACGCAGGAGACCTCAGCCTTTGGATGCTGGTGGCCCATCTTCTCCCATTGACCTACCCCATTGAGTCCTCCACTGCCACAGCCCCCATTTTCCTTCCACATCTCCCAGGAGAGACCATCTACCCCCCCGAACACTTGTCCCCCAGGAGGACAAGTAGCTGCCTTGTTGCTTCATGATAACTGGGGTATGGAGGGATATGAAGCTCGAGGAAACTTGGCCAGGTCATCAAGAGAACTTTTCCCCATCTTTCCCAGCATGACCTGCCTACCATCAGCACTGCAGAGAAGGAAGGGGCTGAAAAACAGAGGGCAAGTAGAAACGGGAGCGAATTTGATCTGTAGCATGCTCAGCGTGTCCTCTCCCCACACACCTCTTGCTGCCCTGCAGCAGAGGGGCTGGGCAGATGGCCCCCAGCTAAAGGAGGAGAGGAACAACCCCGTGCATCACCCGACCCTCCCCATTAACACACGAGTCCACAGCCTGCCACCCGTCGCCGTTATGAATGGCATTTAATTCTCCTTTACACGCGGGTTGCCAGTGAAACGGCCCGTTAATAATTTACAAGCCATAAAAAGTACAGCTCCCATAAAACGAGGGTTGGTTGCGTCTTAGTGTCAGTGCGGCCGTGCCTCCTGCTCCGCGGGGCAGGAGGTGAGGTAGAGGAGGACCCGGAGCACACGGTGCCACGGGGCAGGGAAGACAGAGGTGATGGGCAAAGGGTTTCAATGCGTACGTGTGAGAGAGATGCTCCTGCACGGCCTGATCTCACACGGTTCCCCCGTGCTCCCCATCTGACCACGTACCAGAGCCCAGGGCCCAAGGTGATGGGGAACAGCCCAGGAGGCATCCAGAGGAAAGGTGGAAGGAAGACTTCTCTCCAGGAAAACACGGAAAGCTCAGGCTGGTGGGTCAACATGTGTTGTGTCCCCAACTCTTCATGTCCTCAAGGGGCCCCACAAGGCCACCTGGTGCCTTTGCTGCTGGCAGCCCCCTGCGGAAGGTGGCCACGCTACCTGCAGGAGCCCAAGGACAGCTCTTGGGGAAGGCTCTGCTACTCCGAGCTCAGTCATCGCCATCTTCGACCCAGAGCGGGCGCGTTTGCTCCTGGAAGATGCAGCCCCGCACCACCTTGGGCAGCTCCTCAGCGTGGCTCCAGGCGTGGGGCTCCACGCGTGCCCAGGAGCAGGGAAGAGCGTGGAGAGCCTGCTCAGCACCACGACACATCTTCAGCACCTCCGCGTCCCGCTGGCCCGGCTTCCCCAGCAAGTTCCTGGAAAGACACAGAGACGAACGTCACCTTCACACGGGGAGATGGGGTTGCAAAAACACCAACAAGAGCTCGCTCACACGTGCACAAAGCTGATTTTTTTTTGCCCTTTTTTCCCCCATCCTCAAACACAGCCGCCTCCTCTCCCTCTGAACAAGGCGTTCTCCATCCTCCCGCGATGCCCTCCATCCGTACTGCACGGTCTTGCCTTACCTGAGTCCCCTGACGTTCTTCTCGGTGACCTCGATGTGGATTACAATGGGGTATATCTCACGTTTAATTAGATCCCTCACACTCTGAACTCCCAGCTCGAGCAGGCAGTGTTTATTCTGAAAGGAAATTGAATAGATTTACTGATTTAAATGGAGAAGAAATAGCCCCAGCCCCTGACAGCCGCATTAAATCAAACTCCATACTGTGAAATATCATTGCTTTTCCGATAGTAATTCCATTAAATGCGGGATTTACAAGCAGGGCCAAGAGGAAAGGGGAGAATTAAGGAGCAGGGTCACCCACTCCATCACAGCCAGCCTGACCCAAGAGCAGCCCCGCTCAGCCATCCCATCCTTCCCTCCCACCCGACCAGGGTGCCCCATCCCGGCCACCTCTCCCCAAATCATTCAGCACCTTCTCCATCGCCTCCCGGATCATGCGGATTTGGCCACTCTCCTTCCACTCCTGGGGGCCACTTTTGGACACAGGGGGCTCCTGAGCATGGGCAGTGCTGGGATGCTCTTCTGCCAGCTTCTCTGCAAGCCAAGAGGACCAGGAGGGATGAAGAGGGAGGCATCATCCCCTCATCCCTCTTGCACCTACTTCCCACCTCAGCTCCTGCACGCTTGATACTTGAGTCCAGTGCTTATGGATTCTGGAGAGCGAGTCTAATTACACAACATTACACGTTGGCATGGGCCTCCTGCCACTTTCTGCTCGCAGAAAAAGCAAGATATCACAGCTGAAGACCTTGCAGGGCAAGAGCAGCTCTTGTGTGGTGTTACAGCAGCAGCCAAAGCCAGCTCCCAGCCTTGATTCCCCCCTTCCCCACTGCTCCAGCCCCTCCTTGATGAAGCACAGCAGAAAACAAATCATTTTATTTCACCAGGTTAAGTTTCACAAGTTTCTTTTAGGGGCATCAAGATCCTGTGGAAGATTATCTGGCTTGCAAGAGAAGAGCAAGAGAAAATACAGGCAATAAAGAAAAAGAGAAACATCTCAGGGCTCTCAGATCACCTTCTTTCCTCACAGCAGCCAAAACTAGCGGGAGAGAATTGAGTTGTTTTTGGTTTTACGTCCCCTGCTGCAGTAAATGACTTCAAAGCATGTTCCCATGCAATGTGAGGGGGACCCTGCAGAGGGCTCAGTAGGATAGGATATATGGCCAAGTCACTCAGCTAAGAAGCCCGGCGGCCAAAATTGGCAGAGCCATCCTTTTTCTGCAAAACAGATTTTTTTCACCACCTCCATCCCCACCCCCAAAAAGCGTAGCGACTCATTTTTCAGTCCCGCAGCTGGCAAAGACTGAACTGTAAACACGGGCAAGGAGAGAGATGGAAAAAGGAGAAGAGGGAGAGGGATTTGTCCTCTGTGAAAATCCCCTCTGGGAAAAAAAAAAAAAAAAAAGCCCCATTCCCCAGCTGCCTACGCAGCGGTGTGTCAGCCTCGCGTTGGTGGTGGAAGGAAGGGGACGGCTGGATGCTGCCATTCCCGGGGAGGAAGGGCAGGTAGGGAGTCAAGCTGCAGATCCCACCTCAGGCAAGGGCTTCACCCCTGGGAAAAGCCACCCAGAGATGCAAGACAACGCCACATCACTCGAGGAAAGAATGAGGATCCTCATGTCCCAGAAAACCAGAAGGGAGGGCTGGCTTCCCTCATGGCCAAAGGGACAGGGTACAGTTAGGAACGGGAGGGAACACCTTGCGCTTTGCCCAAAAAAACGTTGACCCCTCGTTGCTGCCTACCTGCTGGGCACACGTGGAAGTCCAGGCGGGAGGTGGGCAGGTCCAGCAGGTTCCTGATGAGGCGCGGGGCGATGCAGTTGGGGGACAGCACCACGGGGCGCGGGGTCTGCACCACCACCGGGCGCACCAGGCTGTAAGGCTTCAGGCTCCTGTCCGGGTCTGGAAGGTGGAAATGGAGAAGAGAAAGCCAAAAAGGTGAAAATATGACAAGGTCCCCAAGGGTGATGGGGCAGGTGTGGAGGGAACAGCTCACCTGAGCAAGGGTCCAGCCACAGCTGCTGAGGGGGCTGGCCTGAGCTCTTCTGTGGTTTGGATTTCACCAGGCGCAGTTGGTCCAAGGCCCGTTTCTTTAGCTGAAGAGGAAGGGAAGGCAACAGAGCTGAGAGCACAGCCCAACAAAAATGTGTTAAAAAAAAAAAAAGCTCTCCCTGCTGGCTTCTCCAGCTTACATTATTTCTGTGGCTCTTCTGCTGCCCGGGCAGGTTGCTCTTCTCCTGGATCTTCAACAGCTGGTGGGCCCTGGAAAGACAAAGAGGTGGCCCTCAAGCAACTCTGGAGACCTCAGGGACCACAGCCAGCTGTAACCCTCTTCCCCAAAGCCCACAGAGCCCCTCCTGAAGCACAGGCATATCAAAGCCTTCACTCAACCTCCCAGTCTCTCAAGGACACCAAAACCCTACAGCTCTGGTTCCCAACACCAGGCTTGGGCATCCCATGCTATCAAGAGGCCAATCCACGTACCCCAAGGACTCCTTGGGGATGCTCACCATGGAGAAAAGGGACAGAAAAGGGGCAGAAAAGGGACTCTGCTTTCCTCCTGCCCCCCGTTACCTGCTGTAGTTGGGCACCGTCCCCTTGTCCAGGTCCCGCATGGTCAGGGGGTCGACGCGGGAGCAGTACCACTCCAGCCGCCCTTTGTGCATGGTGTCCGTGACGTGCAGGATCTCCCGGCACTTGACGCAGAGGGCGTAGGGGTCTGACGACTCCAGGAGGGGCAGGTTGGTGCGGACATAGAAAGAGTCTCCGGAAAACTTCTTCCCTTCCTCCAGGGCTTCCCGCAGAGGCTGGTATCCTGGAGGAAGAGACGCGGGTCACCGCGGGTGGGGGCACGGTAGACCAGCGTCACCAACGCGATCGCCAAGTTGCCAGCACAGCTTTTGAGGTGATGGGGTGGGGTTTGGGGGTGCAGAGGAGGCAGCCAGACAGAAGGTCTGTACCTCCATCCCGTAACTCAGAGGGTGTCACACCGGACAGGGCAAGTAACCGGAGCTACGGCCAACCCCGGTGTCACACCTCGTGGCCTAGGACCAAACGGGAGAAGAGAGAGAGAAGAGCTGAGAGGTCAGGAAGGGAAGCAGAGAGAGCTGAGGCTGGAAGGAGAGCCCGGCTGCCGGGGCCTCACCCTGCAGGTCCAGCTGAAAGACCAGGCTCGAAGGCTCATCCCAGTGCAGCAGGCTCAGGTAGGCGACCTCCCGCGTGCAGTTCTCCAGCGACAGCACCTCCTCCTTCAGCGACGGGACCCTCAGCTGGCGAGGAGCAGAGCCCATTAGACCCAGGGGCTGGAAGAGGAGGCTCCCCCCCAGCTCCTCACCCACCGGGGCTCACCAGGAGATGGCACAGCCCCAGGGCAAGCCCTGCAGCATCCTCACCAGCCTCCGATTCCCTCCTCTGCCTCTGATTTAGCTGCTGCCAGCCACCCCCCACCCTCTGGTTTGGATGCTGGGCTGCCTTGAAAGCAAATTCGTGTGCACAAACAAAAAAAAGGCAGGGAGGCTGGTTTCTTTCCAGTTACAGGTGGGCTATCAATGCGAGTGCCGTGGCAGTATTTCAAGAGGTGTCGCTCCTGCCAAAACAAATGCCCTTCCCTCCTTCCAGGAGCTTTCCTCCGAGCAATTATTCTCTGAGAGGGTCACGGAGGCCTGCGAGATCTCGCTCCAGAATTGATTGCTTTGCAACAGGCATGCGCGGGATGCGAGAAGCAAGCTGCTCTGCAATACCACAAGGTGACAGGCAGCTCCAGGGACACACAGCCATATTGCTGTCTTAATCCTCGTGACTCCTTTTTGTTTTTTCTCCTCCCGCAGCTGAAGGAAGCCTTTCGGAGAGTCTTGGCACCTTTGCGTGCACAGGTAGGTCTGAGTGAAGACCTGCGTGGCTGCTTGTGCTGCACGGAGCTCAAGGCAAGGAGCAGGATTGGGAAACGAGAGAGATGGAGGTGGACTTGAAGCTGGCCAGAAGCCAGTTTGTACCGGGGCTCACTCCACACTCCTTGCGTCCCACCTGCACCGCAAATCCCCAACGTGAGCCCATTCCCAGACCCACCTCAATGAGCCGGCAGCCTTCCTTGAGCCCTGCTTTCTCAACCTGTGAGCCTGGCTTGACCCACTGGACGAAAATCCCTGTCCTGTTCCCTCCGAGGATGGAGATGTCTGCTCCCAGACTCTTCTCCTGGGGCGACAGGTTGCTGGTGGGACCCATGCTGCTGAGCTGCACCACCAGGGACCTGGCAAGGAGAAACACCTCCAAGTGATGCTTGCTGCTTTTTCTAAGGACCACGTCCCCATGCCTTGTGCCCAGCTCCAGCATTTTGATTGTATTGAACTTTACATCCTGCAGGGCTCATGGTCCATCCCCAGGGCACCTGCATGGAGCTTGTGAACCCCCCCACCCCGCCAGCCCCACAGAAGCTAAGCTGGGCTCCACCAGTCCTGTCCCAGAGTACAGAGATTCGTGCCCAGCTCAAGAGAGCAGCAGTCACCTCCTGGTGACCTCCTGGCGGCTGGGGAGCGTGGACAAGCAGATCTCCGACTTCACCCTGGCGTAGGTGCTGCTGGAAGAGGAGGAGAAGGCCCCAAGCGAGATGCTAGCGAAACCACTGCCTAGGAGAGAGAGCAGGAGAGAGAGGGGGCACGTCGCCTCTTGGAGCACTGCGGGGACACCGTGTCCGCAGGATGGCGTGGGGATCAGCCACCAGCATCCACCACAGGCCACGCCAGCACCAGGAGGTCCGCAGCCCATCACCCAGAACTGATAAAACCCCAGGGCGAAGGCATTGCTCTCTTCCATTTCCTACTCCCCAGCTCCAAAAGGAGTTGTCTACCAGCAAAGCTCTCCGTAAATCAAACAGAGCGGATGGAAGCTCTGCAGGGGGACAAGCTGCACCAAGTGAAGGTGTGAGGGAGGGTCAGCTCTCCCACCCCTCTCCCTCCAGACACCACTTCATCCTAGATAAGCCCTTTGCGGAAAATCCCCACCCTGGTACCTGTTGCATCTTCCATGCTGCTGAAGGAGCCACAGGACAAGCTGCAGAGGAGACACAAAGGCGAGATGAGAGGAAGCAGCTTCTCCACAGCCTGTTTTCACCCCATTTTCACCCCCATCCCCTCAGCTTTCCCACACAGAAGTTCCCACCCTCAGCCCCACTCCAGGCTCCCAGAGCCATCCTGCTCGCCCCACCCCAGAGGAGACCCAGGCTCCAGCAGCCCCCAGCAGTCACCTTTTGTAGGGCATGCACCTCTCCTCCCGCTGCCGCCGGAGGATGGAGCCGATGCAGGGAGGGAAGGGGAAGGTGGAGAGGCGGTTGATGTCCTTCTCGCTGTCAGGGGTCACCTCCTTGGGCACACAGAGAGAGAAACTCCTTGAGAGAGAAACTTTAGGGGGCTCAGGGGATGAGGGTTTGAAGATTTGAAGGATCAGAGGGAAATGGGCAAGAACCTGACCCCATTAAAAACAGTAGGATATTTGCAACGGGGTATAAAATAGTTGGGATTGCTTCCCCAGGGTATGATTACAGAGCTTACTGGAGAGGATAACACCTTACATGCTGATTTTTAGGGTGCCCCACGGTGACCCTGCTCCAACACCTCTGTGCCCTTGCAGGGCTGTGGGCTCCCAAAGCTCCCAGTGGGAACAGCTTCCCACTGCTCCCAACGGGAGCAGCTTCTCAAGGCCAAGCTCTCACCATGCTCTGAATGGCAGAGTCCCCCAGCGCGTCCACCAGCCCACTCGCGAAGCCAGCGGGGTTGTCGGCGAGGCTCCAGGTGCTGCTGAGGTTGGAGCAGAGGGAGTAGGAAGAGCTGCACATCTGGGAGAGAAGCGAGCCGTCATCCCCTTGCGTCCCCTCCAAAAATTTAGCCCTGCCTTCCTCGCTGTGCTTTCCCATCCCACCGCCCTCACCTTGCCCAGGCTGCGGTTGCCCCTGCAGCGCTGCAGCTGCGCCTCCAGCGTGCTGTTCAGCCCCTCCGCCTGGCTCAGCTTGCTCAGGAGCTCGTCCCTCTCCTCCTCCAGGGTTCGCACGCGCTTGCGGTACTGGTCCTTCTCGATCAGGCTCTGGGAGTACTGCAGCTGCACCCCGTCCCGGCTCTGGATCGCCTGCAAGGAGCCAGGCTGAGAGTTGAGACGAGGAGGCGTGCGACAAACCCCCCTCTCCCACCCTGGCACTGCTGGAGGAGACCCACGGGGGAAGGAGAGGGTACCCCGAGCGGACACGAGAGCCCTGCTCCTGCCGGCGGGCGGAGAGCACTTCACCTGGTCGCGCTCCTTCTCGATCTCCTCCAGCTGCAGCAGCACGGTGTTCATGCGATGCTTGTAGAGGTCGCAGTCCTTCTGCAGGGTCCGGTACTTCAGCTGCAGGTCTTCCACCTCCTGCAGGTACTGGCAGCAGCAAGCAGCGAGCGTTAAACACTCTCAGAGGCGACTGCACAGCGGGGAAGGGGTTGGTGATGGATGCTTTACCTTATCCCTCAGCTCCTCGGCCCACTGCAGCTCGCTCTGCAGGGAGTTGAGCTTCTGGCAGAGGTCCTGCCGGTCGTCTTGGGCTTCCTTCCAGTCGTGCTCCAGGATGTCCAGCAGGATCTGCTCAGAGCCCGGCACTGGGACCTCGCCTGGAGCCTGGGAGGGGAGGAGGCAGCGTCACCACACTGCAGGCACCGAGGGACCTCCGGACAAGGGCTTGGTGGCTCGGTGGTGGCAGCACGACAGCCCTCATCGTTTCTCTGTGAACCTTCTGTGCCCTCAAAGGCATGGAGCGATGCTTGTGAGCACACCCAAGGGTCACAGAGCTGGGAAGAGCGACCCATCGCTGCCCAGCCCTTCCCAGAGAGCCCTCCCAGCCTCCAGCTGTCTGTGACTCCGAGGCAGCCCTGCCCTGGGGGGTACCTGCAAGGTGCCCTGCAGCTCCTGCAGCGATGCCATCAGCCGCTGGTTCTCAGCCCACAGCTCGGACACGGTGTCGGGGTGGCCCCGCTCCTCCGCCTCCCGCTGGGGCACCACGGCTGCCTGCTTCCTCAGCAGGCTGCACTCCTCCTCCAGGCTGGTGACTTTGCATTTCAGCTGGTCCACCTGAGGAACACAGGGGAACAAACATAGGCTGGCACACGTGCCCTGGCACCTCTGCCTCAGTGGGAGAGTGGAAACTGGGCAGAAAAACGCCCTGGAGGCCAGGAAAACAAGGGCTGGCAACCACGTGAAGGAGCATCCTTGAGCTGGGGCAAGGTTTGCACAGCTGTGCCCAAAAGCATTTCCCTGCAGGACGGAGGAGGAGGATGCACGTGAATCAAATTTTTGCATAAACACTTTCAGTCTCCAGCTCCTCTCTTTGCACGACTACTTTCTGGCTGCCTCAGGGCATCCGCAGTGCAGCTGGCCTTAACCCTGGGGGCCTCTTGCGTGGTGCCAGGGCCAGCAGCTGAGAGTCCCCTCAAAGGCTTCCCAGCTCCTGGAAACTAATTCACAGCAGAAAAACCCACTGAAGGCAATGTAGGGCAGGTGGGTGAGCTCAAGGGAAAGTGGGCTGGCACCTCGTGGTCCACCCGGCTCCTAGAGGGGTTTCTCCGCCCCACAGTCACCCGCAAGCAATCAATTCACCTCTGCTCTGAGAGGGTCTGGGAGAGCTGGCACAGGCAGGCACGCCAGATAGAAAGCAGGGGAGGATCCTGGCACGGGCAGAGCGGGATGAGGATCGAGAGGCACCCACGGGGCTGCACGAGGAGCGCAGAGCAGCAGGGAAATGCCAGGAGGCACCGAAGTAGCTGGGTTATTAATAGGTTCAAGGCACTTTGGTCCTTGCCCAGACAGGAAACAGGCGCGTGTTTGCTGGAGGTGAGAGCTTGGCAGCCGGAGTGCGGAGTCACGAATCCCTTCAGGTATGCAGCGTGAGTCTCGGGAACGTCAGCGGAGGACGAGGAGGCGGCAGGGAGTGTCGGAGGGGGGGGAAAAATGGGCTGACTCTCGGCCAAAGTGCCAAGGCATGCCAAGAAGCTCCACGCCGTACGTGCCCAGGGCAGAAACCACGTGCAAGGGCATCTCAAGGTGCCGACAGCCGAGCTGAGCAAGGCACCACCCCACGCACGGACATCCATGTGCGCCCCTCTGAGCCGTGCCACCCCGCTCAGCCCCCCAGAGGCTGTGGAAACCATCACCCACCCTGCTAAAAAGTCACCTCCTGGCCCCCTACCGCCAGCTGCAGGTCCCGGCTGCGCAGCACAGCCATGTTCTTCTCCTCGCAGAGCTGGGCGTAGCGCATGGCCATCATGTAGTTCTCGTCCTTCAGCCTCAGCAGCTCCACGCTGTTGGAGTCCCACTCCTCCCGCAGCCGCTGGCACCGCTCCTGCACCTTCAGCAGCTCCTGCAGCCGCTGCTCCAGCCGGGCTTGCTCCTGCTCCATGGCTTGGTTTTTCGCCTGGAGCTGGTGCTCCTTCAGCAGGTGCTCTTTCCTCTGAGCCCTCATCTTCTTCACCTCCACCAGCAGGAACTGAGTGAGCCCCTCGGGGCCTTCTTCGTCTGGAGGACACAAAGAGGAATTAAGTCCCGATTTCCAAGACACGGGTAACCCCCAAAAAAGCAGCCTGAAAATTTGTAGTGCACCAAGGCCCATCACACGCTATTTGGTCCCCTCAGCCTGTTACACACCCATTTGGTTCCCTTCCTGCCAGATCTTTAGCAGAACCGTCAGGGTTCACTGCTCGCAGGTAGCGTGAACCTGGGTTTTACGCATGCACGCACCCATGCCCACACTGCTGGCCCTTCCCACGCTGCCGAAGGGAGGACGGAGAGCCTGCCCCTACCCAGGATCATGGAGCAGCGCTGGGCTGGCTCCCTCCCTGTGAGCCGGGTGTAGTGCTCAGGGTAATAAAACTCCAAGGACTCCAGGAAGGCTTCGTAGCCTCGCTTCCCGCGCCGCCGAAGGATGTCCATCAGGTAACCTGGGTAAGGGATAAGGAGTTAGCATGACAGAGAAAAAAAAGGCATAGCCCAGCTTCATGACACAAAATAGCCTCTCCAATTCTACTTCCACCACAGAGGAGGAGAGGGAAATCTGGCTGCAGAGCATCTTGTGGACCAAAAAAAGCCAGGGCAGCGCTGCCGTGTGAGGGACCAGGAGGTCATAACACCCCAAGCCTGGGAGCATCTGCTGTGTGTCACGTACAGGTGTCCCCCCACAAACCAGACCCGTCTGTGTTTTCTCCCACCTGTCTGGTTGCTCTTGCAAGGGAACCGGCACGAATTCAGCACCTCCTCTTCATCCTGCTCGTCTATCACGCGGCACTGGCGCAGGTAGGGGGTGAGCTTGGCCGGGTTCAGGGAGCGGGTCAGCTGGTGCCGTGCGCTCTCGATCTTCTCCCAGATGGCATCTTCTTCCTCCTCCTGCTCCGAGAGGCTGCAGGCTTGGAGAGAGGCATTCTCCAGGGCTGGCGGGATAAAAGGAGGGAAAGTCTGAGTGATGGAGGCGCACGGGGTGAAAGGTACGGGGGAATGAGTCAAGGTATGATCCCGCAAATGATTCAGTCTTGCGCCCAGGACTCAGGTACTTCAGAAGTCAGATTACAGACAAATGGGTCCAGTGGGGCCTTGATGTGCTCCCCTACCACCTTAGACACGTAGGAGGCAGAAGGCAGCGGTGCATGAGGTAGTTAAGGGTGCATTTTAGTGGGAAGCCTAGGGAAGATGTCACCTTCGGCCCCGCAGCATGGAGCAGCTTGGCTGCAGGTAGCGGAGCCAAACGGGAATGTCAAAAATGTGTTTTCCGTGAGTCTCCCACACATGGGTGTGGAAGCGGAAACATTCGGCAACACGGGAAGCTTACTCTCAGCCAAAACAAGATGCATCCCCTCCACTTAACGGCCCCAAAGCCCTTACAGCAGCAGTGAGCCTACCCCATTAAGCCCTGCAGGCTGTGATGGAGCAGGAACCCGCAGGGAGCTCTCTTCCCACCTGGGCATCAGCTCAACCAACCCATCCATCTTCATTTGCCAAAGAAATCCCGTTTCCCCAGCCAGCACAGATCCCTTTAGCTGGCAAGACAAAGCCAACTCCTCGCCAGCGTGCGCCATCACCTCCCCTCCGGTGCTGGCACCACGTCCAGCTTCCTACCCCAGCCACACAAACCAAACATCCCCAGCGGCAGTGCAAAGGTTCACGCTGCGTGAAAGCAGAGGGAAGAAAATCTCCCGCTCTTTTTTTTTTCTTTTATTTTTTTTTCCCCTGTGGCGAGGCTGATATCACGCTATTTCAGCCGGCCAACTCGCACGGCGAGGAGGACGGCCCGGAGAGCCGCGCTAAAGTCAATCCTCCCAGCAGAATTTCGGGGTACTTGGGGTCTGCTGGGTGCAGGGTAACAGGGGGAGAGGACTGTCGGACACACTAAAGGCACTCAAGTGTCTGATTTCAGGCACCAAAGGGCTTTGGAGCCTAAATACCGACACAGATCTGGATCGCTCCAGTTCCATTCAACGGGAGCTGAATAGGGAAAACGATCCGCGTTTTTTAGAGTAGGTGGGGAGACCGAGAGCAGGTAACAGCAGCCGTGCTGTTTCGAGCCCTGCCGCCTCTCAGACCTTCAGACCAAAGCAGGGGGCTCCGGGGAGGGGGGGTCCCGAGAGCGGGGGGCGCAGGGGGGTCCCCTTACCTTCCATCCCGGCTCCGCGCCGCTCCTGCAGGTGTGCCTGGAGCGCTCTCCCCACCCCGCTGCACCTTTCCTCCTCCTCCTCCTCTTCCTCCTCCTTCCCTCCCTCCCTCCGTTCTCCGCCCGGCTGGGAGGGCAGGCAGCCGGCTCCCCTCCCCTTTTCCCTTTCCCCAAGCAGCCTCTCCCCCCGGCTCCGAGCCCCTGGGGCTGCTCCTCACCTGGGCGAGGAGGGGACGGGTTCTCCTGTGCGTGCGCTCCCGTCTCCTCTCCGCCGACAGCCCCGGGGCTGGAGCCGCTCTCCGGAAGGATGTGGCTCGCCAGCAACTTCTCTTCCGAAACGCAGCCGGCTTCAGCTCCCCGCAGCCTGCCGGGGAAAGGAAAAGAAAGGAAAGGAAAGGGGGTGCCCGGCTCGGCGTCCCCTGGCCGGGGAGGAGAGCTCCAGATCAGCGGCGGGGCGCTCCCGTGGTTGGGGCGCTCCCAGGAATTACAGCCCGGCCACCCCTGTGCAAGGAGGGTGCTGGATGGAGAGGGTTAGGAGCAAGGGGAGAGAATAGGAACGGCTGGAAAAAAGCTCGATCCAGGCCGAGGAGAGGTGCCCCAGCCTAAATTTTGGCCCCCGAGCAGCGGGTGTGGGTGGAGCTGGGCGTGGAGGCACCCCCGGGGCAGGGTGACTGAGCCCTACCCGCGGCGTGCGGGGGCCTGCACCGCCAGCCTGACCCTGCATGGGGCTGCCCGGGTGGGGGAAGATGCCAGGAGCCTTCCTTATTCCCTCTCCGAGCTGCCACAGCCGTCCTGGAGCGGGGCTGGAGCATCCCAGCAGGCACACGAGGTTTAGCCCCTGCCACCAACCCCGCTGCCCAAACCCGTGCCGTGCCACTGGGACCAGGAGGGGTCTGGCAGAGGTGGAAACCACAGAAGCCAAAGTGTGAAACAAGCTTCAATGAGGAGCCAGACCACCCGTCCTAAAGGAGCTGTGGGGTTCCCACTGGACCCCAAATGAGTATCTCGCATCATTGTCCCTCCAGGGGCTGATGCGTCCCCTCCGGACCCCACGGGGATCCTGCAAAGCGGTCGTGGGGGGAAGGAGGCTGTCGCAAGCCCACTTCCCCATGCTGCCGTGCTCTTCACAAGCACAACCACTGCCTGAGACCAGCTTTTGAGACTCGCTCCCCAAATTTTCCTCCGCGCACCGCACGGCTTCGCGGCCCTCGTGTGCAAACACCATGCACTCACAGTCGGTTTTGGCAAACGCCCCCTCTGCTTGCACGGCCCCCGTCCCACCCGCTGCCACCCCGAGCGTATGAATTCGCTGCTGACTCATCCTCCCTGCCAGGCATCCCAGCAGCTGCCTTCCTCCCCCACTTCGCCCAGCTCTCCCCCAAAAAACGAGACGCAAAGACCACCATGGGCTCTCCGGGCAGGACGCGGCTCCGTCTCCAGCCCTTACCTGCAGCTGTCAGTGGGCTGCAAACAAGCAGGAGCGAGGCTGCCCGCAGGGAACGACTTCTGACTCAAGCCATGTCAGTGTCTTCCTGCTTGTTATTCTCTTGCAAACAGCCCAGGTCTAGCGAAAAAGATTTCCTGAGCAGGATACCACACGCTGATGGAAGGCGAGATTTTCACCGTTGCGATAAAAGCCCCAAACGGGCTTGGTTTCTCTCATTCACCCAGACAGGGACAGACTCAAGGCTGGTGTCAAGGAAACCTCTTCCTCCACCCTCCCTGACCTCACGGGCAGTAGCTGTGCTGCTTCGTGACTCAGAGCAAACCCAAAGCAGACACAGCACTTCCCACATCAAGCCTTAGCTGCCGCTTTTGCTCCTGGAGGGGCTCGGAGATGGGCAGGTGCCCCAGGACCACAAGACCACCCCTGAATTCCAGCAGATCAGGCAGACAGCTCCTGAAAGGAAGATGTCCTATCCCATTTTATTTATATTTTTTTGCCCAGGGAACGTGGGCACAGCGGTGAAGAGCTCTCCTTTTGGGGGAGAACCGTCGTGGTACCAGACACCCCCGGTTTGTCACAGTGCCACCACAGCCAGGTCTCACGTTTCCGAATTACCCCAACTTCTGTGCTGCTACAGCTGAGTTCCCACCAGGAATGTCATCGTGGGGTGCCTGGGTGGGTAGGTGGCTTTTTGTTGTTGGCTTTTTTGTAGTGTTTTTGTTATTTTTTTTTCAACTCCCGACCAAAATAGCCGCACTGGTAAGACTTTCCAAACAACACTGGCTCGCACAGGAAACCTATGACAGGCCAGCGAGCGGTGAGCCATGCGATGTTTCCACCGAGGGAGGAAGGGCTTAGCACATGGAGCCCACAAAGCCATGGGTTTTTGGTGGCGGCTCGCGGTGTGGGGCTGACTGGTGGGCACCCTTGGAGGTAAGCGAGCTCCTGAAACCACCTTAGAGAGGACTGAAGTGGTGAAGGGATGAAATTCCTGATCGTGTGGATGAAATGTCGTCGGTGTAAAGCTCAGCAGACGGTGAGCTCAGATGCGTTGTAAAATGCTGCCTATGTTCTGCCTGCGTTACAAACCTGCCCTGAAACACCTTACCTACACGCTAACATGAGGTGGTCACACTGTTTTCAATAAAATATCTCTTTTTGTGCTTTTTTTCCCCATTTTCCTCACAGCCAAGTGATTTGCCAAGACTTGTATCTTCTGATGAAGTTTTCAGGGGGAGGTTCGCCAAGGTCCCTGGTGCTCTCTCTGGTCAAGCCTAGAAAGAAAGCCCAAAACACCTCCCCTTGAACTTTCCCTCTCTTCATTAGCTGTCCCAATGCGTAGCTCTGTGTCACAAAACCTCTCCACAGCTTGGTTCCCACGTGGAACAAAAACACATGCAGAGAGCTCGGAGGATGTGAAACAGATTTCTCAACCCCAGCCCGCTCTGAGCAGCTCACGCACTCGCACCAGGTTAGGTGGCACACACAAAAAGACACTTTTATTTTTCCTCCTGACTCTCACCAAGCTCAGGGTTTATATGAACAGCCTCTGCAAGGGCTCTGAGCGCCTGCTCGTCCCCCTGCTGCCTTTCAGAGCCACCACAGGCCAACAGCTTCACGGTGGTGTAGGTGACTGCAGAAGGGGAGGAATAAACCCCCCGGAAAGGATGAGCGGCCCTCCTGGCAGGAAGGAAATGCACATAAATGCCTGTGGAGATAGGAAAATGAGTGAATGTTTCCTCCAGTATTCCTCCCCCTCACGCACACGCCCATCGCCTGGAGCTAAAGGAGGCAGAAGCGTCTGGGAGCTTCTCGGGATGGTCTCGGCTCCGCATCTCCATCCTCATCAGGGCATATCCAGCTGTGGGGGGTGGCAAGCGAGAGCTGGATTAGGGCAGGCTCATGGGATTCGAGTCCCTAAAATGGGCTTCCTCACTCTGAAGCTGCCCGACTGCCCGTGACCAAGAGCCTGAGCCAACAGGGCTGAGCCCGCAAGTCTCCTCACACGCCTCTCCCACCTCAGCCCTGTTCCTGGTTGCCTTATCTCCAGCAATAAGGGAAGGAACCCACAGAGGGAACGACCCCAGCTGCGTTTTAATTGCAGCAGGCAGCAGCTCGCCAAAGCCACCCGCTGCTTGCCTTGCATGCTGAGGCTGCGGCCACCAGAGGTCAATGTGGCCACATCAACCTCAACCCATCGGGCGCCGCACGCAGCCCCTTTGGAGCAGAAGCGTGGAGCAGGTAGAGCTTCCCACCTCTCCAGAAACGATTTTGGGATAGGTTTGCACGTGAGCCAACGTTCAAAGCATTCATCGCAATGTGGCTTTGGCGTTATCCTGGGAAATAGGGCTGGAGAACGACAACGTCCCCAACGAGCGTCCTGCAAGCGCGCTGCGTGTAGGCAGGAGGATGGCACTGTGCAGAACAGAAATTCCCCCTCTGCCCCCTTCAGCAGAGCTCCAGCTGGAGGTGCGTAGGTGCCCGATGTAGGGGGAGCTCCCCAAAGCTCTCTACTGCTACAATATTTGGGGTTTCGAGTGCGTGGGCTGCTGGTGGAGATGGGCAGGCGTGTTGGCTTTTCTCCTTGCAACCCATCCAAGCTCCAGCGGCGTGCCACCACCGCTTGTAGCACTGCTGCAGAGCCATGGGGTGGCACCAGGCCACCGGCCAACCCCTGGGGGGAGGAGGTGGCTGGGGAAGTGCCAGGGCAAAGCCCCGAAGCTTTGGGTCAGCGTGGCCTCGTTGCTGGAGCCCTTGGACAGGACGCGGGGAGACAAGGGCTGCGCCTGTTCCTGGCAGGCACCAGGGCTCCTTGCTCCTTGCTGCTGAGGCCTTTCCCAAACCTTTTCATGCTGGAGATGCTGTACCCACGCCAACTCCACCCCTAAAGGGGCCGTGATTCCCCTTTTATCCCGTTAACGTTACCTGGTGAGATCTGCTCTCCCCAAACACCTGCTGGAGGTGAAGTTGCACAACCCACCCCTCAACCCACGTCCAGTACGGCCAAGGGCTACCAAGCTGAGACCTGACAAATTCAGGGCAAATTTTGGTGCCCAAAGTAAAGGCACAGCACCTGGGACCTTATTTCCTCCTCCACGTACCGCCAGGGCTGCGGGGATGCCCTGCAGGATGCAGCCCTGGATGCTGCGGGAGACCCTGCAGCCCTTCTGCCCGCTGCGTGCTGGAGCCATCGTGGGTAAATGTGTCATTTCAACGCCTCCCCTACACATTCCTCCACGTCTGGTGTTCCCATAGCCGACATACATATGCATAATGCATACATACATACACCCAGCTGCCTCCCTGACTCACCCCCGGCACCACTTGGCCCTCCGGACCATCCCACGGAGACCAGCATTAGCCGAGACCAGGGACGAGCCCTTTGTCGGCTCCGACAGCCAGGGGAGGAATCAGGGGCTGGGATGCAGAGGGAGCCGTGCTTCTCTTCCCAGCCCCAGCCTTCCCCCTCGCCCCGACCTCCACAGCCCCAGCCTCAGCCCTGCGGGAGCTGGGTGCCCTGGGAGGGAGCCGAGCCTCACCGCGGGGATGCAATCCCCGGCGCTCGCTGGAGCCCGCCCAAGAGCGAGGCGCTTTCCAAGCCCTTTCCCTTTCTCGGGGGTCTGTTAGTCACATAAACAGGAAAAGCCTGGCTCTCTCCTCCCCCCCCAAATCCACTCCAGTGTGATGCAAGCCCCTGTGCCGGGCGGCTGGCCCCACGGGAGGAGCTGCCGCCGGCCCCTGACCTCCAGGCTCCGCGTTTCCTGCGGCAGCCAAGGAGGGAGACGAGGCCCCTTCTTCCAGATGCCGGGCATAAAGGGGCCTCTGCGGGCCAGCCCCAAGGAGGAGAGGTCGTAGCCAACCTTCCCTAGCAGCCTGGGGGACGCGGAGGTGCCAGATGCCCCAACAGAGGTCGGAGCATCCCTGGGACCCCAAGCACCCCAAGCGAGGGGAGCGCAGCCGAAATGAGAGGGCGAGCGCCGCTCGCCAGCCCCGTCCCTGCAAACCCTTCTTTATCTCCTGGCACTTATTTCTGGCAGCTCTGTGGTGTTCCCTCCTAAAACCAAAGGCATCCGTGCTGGGCTGGGAGGGCGTGCGTGTGCTCCTCCAGCTCACGCTTGCTGCTAACCCTCATCGGAGGCAGATCTCTGGAGGGGAGAGAAAACCCAGCCTCGCGGCAAGCAGTCGGGGTGAGAGGCAGATTCCCATCCCCAGCTCCCCGTCTGTGCTTTCCCACCGGGCTCCGTGCCAGCTCGGGCTCGTAAAAGCCCCGGTGGGCAGCCAGAGGTGATGCCGTGGTGCCAGCTGCCGGAGGAGAGCGGGCAGGGCAGGATGGCATCCCCAACCCAGCCCTCTCGCATGCCTCGGCGCTGACTTCCACTCTGCCCTGGAATGCGCCCGGCAGCAGCATGTGGGAAAGTGGAGTCAGCAGAGACCTTGGATGTGTCAGCTCCCATCTGAGTAAACAAGAGGAGCCCTGGCAAGCGTTCAGCCCCGAGCATCCGAGACCTTGAGAAGGGGTCTGTGGAGACGAGACGGTGCCATGGGAAGACGACGAGGGTTTGGGGCAGAGAGGGACTCGGCAGCTCCCAGCACCGAGGGCGGAAAGGAACACCTCCCTGGCTGCAGCTGGGGGCATTCCCAATGCAGGGTGCCAAAAACATCCCCGCACCATCCCCACAGGTTTTATAGGGTCAAGGACGAGCAAGGGGTTGCCCCAGCGTGCATACACGCTCCCTGTGCGCCCTGGGTGTCGGTGCCTCCATCGCCTCCTCCACAGGGTGCACCCACAGGAGACCACCCCACTCCCCTCTGCACGGGAGGCTGGTTTGGGGTTAGGGACACAGCAGGAAGGCTGGGGAAGGCACCCCGCGTCCCACCAGCTCTCCTGGCATCACCCCTCACCGTCTCCTCGGGGCGGCCGAGGCCGTGCCTCCTCCTGGCCGGGGGCCCGCGTCCCCTATCGCTGCTGGCCAGGCGCTGACGCCGAGAGAATGAGCCATTGTTTCCCAGCCCCGCGGCCTCTTCCTGTCCCCGTAGGGCCCAGAGACAAACAAAAGCGGAGCCAGACGCTTTGGGGAGGAGGCCCGGGCCTGCTCCCCTCCTCCAGATCCCGCAGCAGCCCCTTAGGCAGGCAGGCAGGCAGACAGACGGATGCCCGCCTTGGGGGAATGGGCAGGGACACCCCTATTTTTAGCCGCCTCTGCACCCCACCCCCTTCCTTCCGTGGCCAAAAATACGCGGGCTGGATGGACAGGCAAAATCATTAAGATTAAAGAGGCGTCCAGGCCCTGCTTCCACCCGCTCCCCTCGTCCTTTGGACCAGGACGTGGCAATGCCCTCACCCCGGGGATGACTGCTCTCCTCATCCCCATCCCGCCTTCCCTGTACCCACGCGTCGTGGGACACGGATCCACGCTCCTACAGGGAGGGAGAACGATGTCTGAACACCCCTCCTCGAGTCCCTCCTCCACCTCCGCAGGGTTCGTGAAGAGGAACTGGAGAATCAAGTGGTGGGAGACACCGTACCCATATTTACATCGAGATTTGCATCTCCCTTCCCAGCTCCCGGAGTCACCGGGGTGTTTCCAGGCCACGAGCAGCCCTTCCAGGGTTGCTCCTGCTTTACGCAGCGTGCCCCCACCCTGCCCCCAGCCGTCCCAAAGCACCCTTTCCCTCCTGTCTGTGCCAAAAGGAGCACAGATTTGGGGTCTGCGTCACTCTCTACCCTCCCAAACCCCTACACCTGCGGCACTGCGGGCAGGACAAGGACACAAGTAGAAAGCCGTGGGGGAGAGGAGGAAGGAGGACGAAAACATTTGGGATAGGAGGAGATGGGCTTGCCAGCAAGCCTGGGAATTCATCCCTACCTCCTCCTGGGCTTTGGCAAACCCCAAGGCTTCGCATTCCCAGCCCAGGTCCCGTGGGAGAAGCATCCCCTCCTTTGCAAAGCCCACAGGCAGGACGTGGTCGCTCCCATTCCCGCTGCTCCAGAGCAGAGGAAAATCAGAAATAGGCTCCCAAAACGTCCCACCACTCTTCCCAGCCCCAGCACCGCGTGCAGGGGATATGGGGACGGTGCGGGGCCCTGTGGGGTGCCACCAGAGGGGACATCACCCCCAAAGCTGCCAGGAGAGCGACGGGCAGAGGCTGAAAGGCACCGCGCAGGACGCATCCATCACCCACAGCAGGGTGAGGGAACCCGGACCCACAGCGGGACGTGCAGTGGGGCAGGGACCCCCCCCCCCCCCAGGCCCCTCTGTGGCAGCGGGGGGCTGCCGGCAGCGCCTCCCATCCCGCGCGGTATGCGGCGGCCGCGAGGAGAATGGAAACATCTGGAAGTGGCCCGCAAACGAGCGGCGCTCCCAGTTAATGAGGAAATATGAGCTGGGGAGCCTGGGCAGCAACAGGATATCTGCCGCTCGTGCGCCGAGCGGGCGCCCCTGCCCGCCTGCCCTCCCCTCCGCCCGCCATCCCCGGGGAAGTTTCCAGGGATGAGGGGGTCCTGGCCCTAAGCTGGGGTGTCCCCGGGCACCGGAGAAAGGAAGAAAAGGGATTTTTCGTCCCCAAAAGGAAGTCCTGTGGGGCTGCAAAGCAAAACGGGGGGGGCATCTTTGAGATGCTGCAGGAATCAAAGCCGGCAGCCCGCGGGGAGCTGCAGGGCCACCCGGCTGCTCCGATGATAAGCCCGATGCCCAGACTGGTCCTGCTGCCCCGGGGGGGTGAGGCTGCAGAGGGATGAAAGGCTGGGGGTGACTCAGGGTAAATGAGGCAGCCGGGCGTCTGGGGAGATGGGGCTGGGAGGGGTCGGGGCATTAGCTCTCGCCCAGGGCACCCACGGGTGCTGTGGTGGCTCTGCAAGACCGTCCAGACCCACAGCATCGCTCGCAGGGAGGAGGACAAGACGAGGAGGGGCTGGGGTGTAGGGTTTGATGGGTTCGGTGTCAGGCAGGGGTCTCGGAACTGCACTGCCCAGGTGTAGCCGGTGAGGCTGATCCACCAGGATGGATGGCGAGCCCCAGAGCTGGCGTTCAGACACCCTACAGGGCTCCAACCCACTCCAACGCCGTCCCCGAAGGGGTAAAACCCGACAGCCTGGCTCGGGGAGGGTGCAGAAGAAGGGGGAGGGTTTCCAGAAGCTTTCCTGGAAATGGAGCAAGGCCTGGCCCCAGGATGCAAAGATGCTCCGAGCACGGGCAAGGAGGAGGAGGAGAAGGAGGAGGAGGAGGAGAAAGAGAAGGAGGGGAAAGAGGAGGAGGAGCGGGCGACCCGCGAGGAGCAGATCGTGGCCCCTGCCCCATCTGGAAGAGATTTGTTCTGCATTCCCCGGCAGAGGCGGCCGCCTTCGCTCCCCGCCGCAGCCCCCACTGCAGGGCACCGGGACGGGGATGGGGATAGAGGGACCCCAGCGGATGGAGAAGGAAGAACGGGTCTGCTCCAGCCTCTCCAACCACCCCGCTGGATTTTTGGGGGCAGGACACGTGAGAAAAAGGTGCCTCCTATGGCTGTGGCAGGCTGGGAGGCTGTAGGTCGTGGGTTCTCCTTTTCTCACCGGTGGCACAGCTCCGTCTACCTCAGACCTGAGTGCCCATCTCCCACCGAGATGCTAAAAGGAGGCCTGGACCAAAATGCACAAGGCTTGTGCTCCTCTTCCCCGTCATATCTGGCTTCCATGGAAGGCAGAAAATGCAACCTCGGCAGGGTCACCAGATCCGAGCAAGAGGCTCCATTTTGACATCTCCTCCGCAGCCATCTTGTCATCCCTCCAGCTAGGCCCTGCTCAACCCCAACAAGTCTCATCTCGCCTCCACCAGCGGAGACACCTCCCTTCTCCTCCACGGGGCCACGAGCAGCGCTTGTGCCTGGCCGAGCACCCCTCCAGCAGGGCCTCCGAGCCTCATCTCTGGGCCGTGGGGTCACCGGGGACGTTGGCAAGGCTGTGCCCACCGGCAGGCTGCCCCTTGGTGGCACCGAGAGGGGACAAACAAGGAACAAGGCGTGATGCCAGCAGGATGTGGTGTCCCATGGGTGGGCAGAAACTCATAGCATGAAGGAGGAGAGCACCTCCTTGAACCTACCACAGTGCCTCCAATATAACGCTTCTCCTGACCCCATAATGCTTGTCCTGACCCCATAACGCTTGTCCTGAACCCCTAATGGTTGTCCTGACCCCAAAACGCTTGCCCTGACCTCATATTTCTTGTCCTGAGCCTGTGGCACCGACCTGGCCCACGCTGCCTTCAGAGAGGCTGCTACCCCACCAACGCTCACCCTACACCACCCACGGGTCCTGGCGTGACCGCGCACCCCCAGGATTGGGGTCAGGGGGCTTCCCATCCGACACGGGCTGGGATGACCCTGTGTTATTACCAAGGCTTTCACATACATCACGCAAAGCCCTTTCCTTCTGCCCGGCGTCCCCAACAAGCTCAGCAGAGACCCGGCTTTTCCCCTTCCCCCAAAAAATTCACCAAAGAAAGGGAGTGGGGCAAGCAGGAGGCAGCCCAAGGCCGGAGGAAGGGAAATGGCACTGGGGAAGTGGGGCGGGGAGCCGGAGGGGGGGAAGGCAGAGAAGTTCCTGAAGTTTTCTGTCCTGGATAGTTGGAATAAATCTCATTTTCTCCGGTCTCCGTGCCGGGGCGAGGATTGGCTCGGCGGTGCCGCAGCCCGCCCCCTCCTTCCCACGTCCCCTCCCCACCAGCTTCGCTCCCTCGCTCCCGTGGCACCGGGGCGTCAGGCACCCAACGAGCAGCCTTGGGGAGCCAGCTTTTTGGGGGTAAAAGGGGTGGAAAAAGGGGCAGGGGGCACGCATCCCCTTCCCTTTCCCCGCCGGGACGCATCGCCGCTCGCCCTCCCAACCAGCCGGAGGGGCGCACGGGGAGCGTCTCCCAACTTTTCGGCCAGAGGACGGGACAAAAAAAGCCCAAACCACAAAAAAAAGTCGCCCGGGTTCGTGAGAGGTAAAGCCTGAAAGTTTTGATTTCGACGTGCGGAGAGCCGGAGGGGAAGGGAAGAAGGGAATGGAAGGGAGGGGGGGAGAGGGCGGTAAGAGGGGGGAACGGGGAGGTGGGAGAAGCGGGAGGGGTGGCGAGGCGATGGAGACGGGGAGGATGTGGCAGAAGAAAGGCAGAAGGAGGCAGGAATGCGAGGGGAAACGGGGAGGAAATAAGGGAAAGCGGGAGCGAGGACAGGGGAGTGAGGAGAGGAACGGGGCAAGGAGGGGGCCCCGAGGATGGGGGCAAGGGGCAGGGTGCCCTCCTGCTGCTACCGCCCTCACCCCGCTCTGAACGCCCCAGGGAGCCACAATTTTGGGGGGTGTCGGAGCAGGAGAGGGAGCAGGGAGGGGATGGCTTTAAACTGCGAGGAGCGCCAGCCTCCCTCCACGTCCCAGGCTGCCTGCTTGGAAAAATACCCCGGTTATAGGCAGAGATATAAAAAAATATATATATATAGCAGCAGGCAGCGCGGGAGCTGGACTCAGGCTTGTCCGCCCACTGCCCGGCACCGCTCCAGGACTGCCGAGGGAGCCCCCATCCCATCCCGTCACCCCCTTCCCACCCCAAAACCCCGCTCCTGCCGGCTTCCCCCCTTCCCCGTCCCAGAACAAAGTGAGAAGCCGGCGGAGCCTCTGCCTCTCCTCCTGCGGGGAGAGGAAGATTTGGGGCACTCGGAGGTTTTTGGGAAGGTTTGGAAAGGCTTCCCGGCCGCCCACAGCTCCTTCCAACCCTTGTGGAGACCACCCCAAACATCTCTCCCTCTTCGGAGAGTGTCCCCGTGGGGTGTGTGCGAGAAGGAGGGGTTGGGGAGGGTGAGGGGGGGGGGGAAGAGAGAGAAGAGGCTGCTTTCGGCAGCTCCAGCCAACGAGACATCTGGATTATTTCCCCCCCATCCTCCCTCCCTCGCTGGTTTCCGTTCTTCCCAGCGAGCGGAGCAGCCCCGGCCATTGCTGGCGAGTGGAAAACCAGTGGAAACCAGCTCGGCTTCAGGGCGGGGGGGGACACGGGGGAGGGAGGAGGAAGAGAGAAGGGAAGGTGGGCAGACGGACGGACGGACAGATGGACAGACAGGGGTCCCCTCGCCTCGCGGAGAAAAGGAGAGCGTGGGTCAGCCTTTGCCCCCTAATCACGAGCTCGGAGCAGCACGCTTGGGCAGAGGGAGGGCAGAGACACAGCGGGGGCAAAGGAGAGGAGGAAAAAGGGCTGGCACCATCCGCCCCCTTCCCCGGGAGCAGCGGGGAAGAGCTGAGGGTCCCCATGGGGGTCCGCAGGGCAGCCCAGGTCTATGGGGCTGGCGGATTCCTCCCCTCCCAGCCCTATGCCTTGTGCCAAGGGGGGGATCCTGCCCCCACGTCGTCCTCCCACCCCAAATCCGCCACGTGCCCGGCGTGTCCCAGCCTCGAGGCTTTGCAGAGACACGAGCAGAGAGAGGCAGGGGCTGGGGGGTGGCAGGAAGCGAGGCTGCCAGCGTCCTGCCGCCCGGCCACTGCCACCAAGGGGAGGCAGCCAATGCTGGCGGCCTCCGGGGGGGAGGTTTGTTTTCCCTTCCCAGGCATTAACCCCCGGCAGATAAGAGGGGCCCTGGGTGAGCAAACAAGGCCAGGGCAAGGCAAAAAAAAAAACGAAAAACATGTGTGTGTTCTGCCAGGAGAGCAGCCCGATGCCCAGGCCTCCCAGGCACCCACTCCAAGGTGACCCAGGGACACAGCGGGGGGACACTGGTGGGGACACGCAGCAATGGGGGTCCAGATACTTAAAAACTGAGGGATGGGGGGGCTTGTGCGTCCTTTTGGCCTCCTGTCCCCTCCTGCTGGCAGGACCCAGCTCTATCCTCATCCCACAGCCCTGATCCCAAGGAGGCCACGTAGCCCCACGGTCATCGCCCTGCCACCGCCTCCCCGCCTGTCCCCCAGCACCGGGCGCTCCGTGCCACATTCACGCCCCGGCAAAGCAACCCAATACACGAATATTACATTTTTCCCTTCCCCTCCTCCCTGAGAACCACGCCGTCCGCCGGCCTCACCCTCTCCTGAAGGGTTCCTCTGAATAGCGAGGAGCTGGGAGAGGTTCCTCACCCCAGGAGGGCGGCGTGGGGCAGGGCACGGGGAGGAAAGCTTCAGCCAGGATTGCAGAGGGAAGGGCACGTGCTTGGGGACGCTGTTCCTTCCACCCCAAAAGGAGCACCGGGCAAGGGACGCGGCTGGGGACAGTCCCCACAGCACTGCTCATGCTCCCATTTTAACCTCGCTGCCCCCAGGACCACCCAGCCCCACCATTCCTGGGGTTACAGCTGGCAGGATTGGGAAAATCCTCACTGAGGGCTTCACCTTCCCTCTTGTTTTCTTTAGGGGACTGAGGCGCTTGCCCTGCCACCCATCTGCGCACCAGCTCCTGCAGCAGAAGACCTCAGCTCAGCCCCAGGGGGAACCTCCAGCAGCACCCAGGGTGACCGCAGACCCCGGTGGCCACCCTTGTCCCTCCCCTTTTGGGTGAGGGAGCAGCACCCACTGCTCCTCAGGAGGACCCGTCCCCATCAAGGCCACCAACTGCTGGGACGTCCCCACGCTGGGTGACCCCATGAGCGTTACGTAGGCCCACCACTGCCACCAGATCAAAGCCGAGGCGAGCTGCTCCCCACGGCGATGGGGATGCCAGGGATGTGACAGGCCACTCCAGCACCGGAGGTTGGTTTTTTTTGGGGGTTTCGGCAGGCAAAAGGACGAGGAGGTGCAAGATGAGCCTGGGGAAGCTGCCGGTGCTCAGCTGGGTGTCGGGCTCCCACGGCAAGCGGCGGCTGAAGTCGGAGTTGACGCCCGACATGATCAGCCCGCCGCTGGGGGACTTTCGGCACACCATGCACGTGGGGCGCGGCGGGGACGTCTTCGGGGACACCTCCTTCCTCAGCAACCACGGCGGGGCCGAGACGGCCAAAGCCAACAACTTCTTCACCCGGACGCTGCGGCACGTCCGACGGACGCCGCTGAGGAGCCGGGGCAGCGGGAGCCAGGTGGTGGCATCGCCCGAGCCGCCCGCCATCTCGCCCATCATCAAGAACGCCGTCTCGCTGCCGCAGCTCAACGAGGCAACGTACGACGGTGGCGGCGGAGGTTTGACCAGCAAGTTCTCCTTCAAAAGCGCCTCCAACAGCTTCTCCAAAACGCACCAGGCCTACGGTGAGTGGAGCACCAGGGAAGGGGGGTGGTGCTCTGGCACCCCTGTGTCCCCTCAGCCCCATGATGAGCAGCCCCCCGGGTAGAAGGGTGGCACGGGTGGGTGGCTCTTTGGTCTCAACATGAGGCTGTTGCTCTGCTCTTCACCGGGGGCTGTGGCAGAAGGTCTCAGGAGGGTCTGGGGGAGCCAGAGGGGCCGTGGCTGGGCTGAGAGGGAAAGGCAAGCCGAGGCAATGCTGCCATCTCCTGGTCCCGCCTGCCCGGCTCCGTCCCCACTGGCGTCTCCCCACGCCTAGTGCCCATCTGGAGGCCTCTGCTCGGCTCTGGGTTGGAGACGTCCACCCCCGAGCTGCAGCAGAGTCTCACTGGGCCTCACCAGTCCAGCACCAGTATGCCCAGTAAGGGCATAAAACCTGGCCTTTAGGCACCAATTCAGTGGCAGCGTCCCTTGTCCCGTGGACTTGTAGGACCACGGTGCCTTAGCTGTGCTCACCAGCCATCGCTTTTGCCTTGCAGGGCTGGAGTCTGGCTTTTGCACCATCCCTCGCGTCCCTCGCCTGGAAAAGGCCCAGGAGAACACCTTCCCCGGGGACGCAGAGCTCGCCCGCTCGGACTCCCTGCTGTCCTTCCGCCTGGACCTGGGGCCCTCCCTGATGAGCGAGCTCCTCCAGGTGATGAGCTTCTCCGAAACCAATGGCAGCGAGGCAGCGGAGGACAACCGAGACCTGCCCGGCAGCCACACAGTCCCGCAGGGCGAGGGGACCGAGGATGGGGTCCCTCCAGGACCTGATGCATCCCACGGAGAGGTGAAGGCAACGTCCAGCTTCTGGGACCGCTCCGGGCAGGCCAGCTCGCTGCTGGGGCTTTCCGTCCGTGCCAACGGGGAGGCACACGCCATCGAGCGTGCCAGAGAGGACCCGGGCTGGGCTTCGGGGCCGGGGGCAGCACCCGGAGGGACCCTGTGGCAAGGGCATTGGAACGACTGCTCCATCGAGGCGGGAGAGTTCGAGCGGGCAGCCCAGGTCCTGGCTCGCCATTACGGGGGGACGAGCACCCCACGCAGCCCGGAGAAGGGTGAGGGTGCCCGGCAAGGCCGGACACAAGCCGCGTGGGAGAGCCCCAGCAGCAGCCTGTGGCGGTCGCAAGTGACAGCGGCAAGACGGTCCCCAGAGACCCCCTGGAACCAAGGAGATGAGGATGAAGAGGAGGAGGAGGAGGAGGCCGAGCTCCCCAGCCTGCAGGAGGGGTACAGTGGCAGCCGGGGGGGGCGCAGCAATTCCTTCGAGTATGCCGATGAGGAGGAGGAGGAGGACGATGAAGTCAAGGTGTGAAGGGCCATCCCTCCCAGCACTGCTCCCCCCTCCAAGGACCTTGGTGCTGTGGTCTTCGCCCTCCTCCCCGTGCCCCACCGCCGGGTGGAGGTCAGGCCTTACAGGAGACCTCCTGGCCTCTGGCTGGGGGCAGTGGGGTGCAGGGGGGCAGGAGGAGACCCCAAATGCCGCCGGGCCCCCCCCCAGGGTTGGCAGGGTGCTGCAGGGACAGGTGAGGGCTGTGCAGCACGGTGCCCCATGTTGCAGCCCTTCCCCGTCCTCGTTAGGTGCCAAAGGGACATCCCCACGTGCCAAAGAACCCCCCCGAGCCCCTTTCCACCCCATCCCGCATCCCCCCCAGCAAGCAAATGATGTGCTCAGGAAAGGGAATGGCGACAGACAGGGAGCAGAACAAGGGACAGCCCGCGGACACTGATCCCTTTGCAGCAGGGAGAGGGAGAAACTTCGTGCCCTGCTGGAGGTGAGGCCATCCAGGCACCAAATTCTGCAAAAACACCTTCCCTTCACCCCCCTGGAACAAGGAGACTCCCTCTCTGCAGCCATTCTTCCCCATCCTCGCCCCCTCTCCCTGTCCCCAGCGTGCTCACCCCCCCTTCCCAGAGCTCCCAATGCCAGGGGCACACGTGGAGGATGCTCGATGCCCCTCGCCGAGCATCCCCGGGTGACCACGGCCACCCTGGGACAAGCGGCCCCCACGCTGCTCCACGTGCAAACCGGCACGCACAGAAGCTCCTTTGTGCCGCCGCGTGGAGCCGAGATGCTCGGGGGCTGAGGTCACCACGGGGACCCTCACAGCACCCTCCTTGTTCTCCGGGACGGGCGGGGGTGTGCATAGTGGGGGGAGATGACGCCACGTCACGCTCCCACGCGGCTCGCCCGCCGCCCGGTCCTTCTGCAGAATAAGGCAGTGCCAACACGTCCCCAGCTCTGGCCACCAGCACGCGGCAGGGCCACGCAGGATCAGCCCGTGCCACCGCTGTGCCGGGGGGGGGGCTGGCTCTCAGGGCGAGCTCCCCCTGCCCTCTGCTTCCTAAAGCGTAACACGAGCTCCAGACCAAAGCCCCAGGTCCGTGGACCAGCCTCTCTGCCTCCACTCTGTACCCCGTGCACTTATTATTGTCCTTATTAGAGCAGTTTTGATACTAACTTCTCCGGTGCCTCCCTCCCTCCCTCCTTCTCGTCCTCCCTCACCACGTCTGCCGCTCCGGGCCCAGCCACAAAACGCGCTGCCCCTGCTCCTTGGAGGATTTCGCAGCACCTCTGGGGTTCCTGGATCCACCAGCCCCGTGGTGTGACTAACACACCGAGCCAGCCCCTATCCACCTGGCACCGCGTGGCACAAAGGGCTCCCAGGGAGGAGCAAAGCTTCCTCCCCAGCCCAGCACCCCGAAACAGATCAGGGTGCCCTTCCCAAAGCTGGCAAGGGCAGCAGGGAAGTGGAGAGGGCTCTGTAAGATGCCCTTCTACTCTACTCTCATCCCACCCAGTCCAGTTTGCTGTTGCACACCGGCATCACTTAGGGCTTTGCCTGTGAGGGCAAGGAGGTGACATTGACTTTTTCTCGCACGCAGACCTCCCGGGTCCTCCCTCCCGGCGCTGTTGGAGGCGGCGAACTCCCCATTTCCTCATTTTCTGCATATTTCACTCTCCTTCCCCAGGGACTTTGAGAACAGGATTGACCCGGCGCTCTTCAGGCCCGCCTTCCCTCCCTGCGACTTGGCAAGACTCTTCTTAATTAGAGCCGCAGCAGCAGATAATCAGCAGTAATTGCCTGCAGTCCCGTGCGAGGGACCCAGGCAGGAGGTGGCAAGCCACCGAACCCAGCCCAAACCCTCTCCTCCGCCCTCCCCTGCCTCACTTTCCCTTGGAGCAGGATTTGGTGTGGCAGTGCCGGAGTAATGGCTAACCTGGCTGGAATGCACGGGCAGATAAGTGAGGGGAGATAAAAGGGGAAAGCCGGAGGAGACGACTCCTTATCGCCGCCAGGAATGCCAGCACGGGGGCACACCTGTGCTCCCGTACCCGCTTCGCCTGGTACCGCGCTGGCAGGAAGGCACGGCAGCCCTTCCTCCTGCCTGCCAGGGCGAGCGAGCCAAAAGGAAGCAGCGAACCCGTGCCCTGAGGTTCCCAAACCTAACGTTTAATTACGCGCTTTTGTGGCGTGGAGTGCCATATTGCTCGCGTCAGTGCTTTTGTTCCCTTCCCTCCTCCCAAAAATGCGGGCGCGGGAAGAAATGGTGCATTGTGAAGAGGTTACACAAGCATCTCCCAAGCATTCAGCTCCTACCTTCCTCCTCCTCCTCCTGCACCCCACCTACAGCCTGCTTTGCCCTGTGCGCTATCTGCTCAACCCCACATCCTCGTCTGACCTAGGAAAGTACCTGGCCTTATCTGGGAGCTATTTCCTTTGCTGTTGGGGAAAAAAATGGGTTTTGTTAGCATCTCGCACACATCCACACAGCCAGAGACCTCACAGAAAGCAGAGCAGCTGGAGCAAGGAGTTCCAGCTGGGATTTTATTGGATGTAGGAAGCGGCGCCCATCAATCCAGCTTGAAGGAGGTGACCCTGAAGCCTCCCTTGATGCTCATGTACTTGAGCTTGTCAAAGCTGTGCCGATTGGGGAACTCCACGTGGTGATCATCCGGCAGCGTCACCTTGAACTTGTCTCGCAGGAATTCAATGAGGATCTGGGGGAAAAAAGGGGAGAAAGGTCAGCAACTGGGGATGAGGAGGAGAATAGGAGGTGACCAGCCACTCCAGGGGGAAATGAGGAATTGAGCAGTTGACATTGAGGGTGCAAGCTGGAACCCACGCTGTGACCTGGGGATAGGATCTCTCCCGGTGCTGTTTCAGCTACTCAGGTTGTAAACCCAGAGTAGTTAAATTTAACTGCTGCCTCCACTGAGTCCTTCTATGCCACATGGCTCGGGTTTCCTCTGAACAGGGCAGGACAAACGTGCTGCATCATTGCCCTCACCGGGACCCGGAAAAAGGAGTGTCAGCCATAAACATGAACAAAGGGACAGAGCAAGAACTTACCGCTGACCTTTGTAAATAAAAGGCATCGTTCCTCAGAACTGTCAGCTCTCCACCCCCTCCCCAACCTCTAGCCAGGGATGAGGCAATAAGGCTCCTCTCCTCGGCAGCAGGAAGGGGACTGCTCCTAAATGCAGCCCTGGCCACATCTTGGGACATCCAACGGGGTCAAAGAGCAGCGGGGGCAGCATCCCCAGCAGGAGGAGAGGGAGGACGGATTGTCAGCGTGGATCTAGGAGCGGTGAGGGCACAAGAGCTGAGGGAGAGGTTGGGGAACTGGAGAAGAAGTGGAAATAACAACCAGGACCCAAAACCCAGAGGATGAGGGAGAGGGAGGCACAGAGGGTACAAGAGCCTGCTAACCTGGGTCTTCCCCCCAACAAAGACACCCCAGCACCCCCACAGAGCCCTCACCTTGACAGTGCTGTCCCTGGAGAAACAGAAGTGGTGGTCACGGTGCTCGGCCTGCCAGGCATTGCCGCAGCGGGAGTTGCAGACGATGACCGTCTCGGTGAAGCGGGGGTTGAAGTGAAGCGCCAGGTCCGAGGAGCTGCTGCCGAGGTTGATGGAGAAGCTGTGGGCGAGCAGGAGGGAGGTCAGCCACGGACGGGAACAGGGAAGAACCGAGAGCCAACGCGTGGTTCTGGCACACGCAGCTGTCCAGAAGTGATTCGAAGTGGTTTCATCGCACTTACCCTTCAGCATCGCCGGAGATCTTGCCCTTCACCTTCAGGGTGTCCCCGACCTTCATATCCAGGTTGAAGATCTCGAATTTTTCCTGTCATGAGGGAGAGGTGTGCTGTTGGGGAAGGCGCCCCAGCCAGGAGAACATCTACTGCTCTCAGTAGATGGTCTTGTGTGGGCTTCTCAGTGCGGGGAGGGTTGGGCTGAGCAAAGCCATCAAGTGAAACAAGACATGAGAGAAAGAAGAGAAGAAGAAAAAGGCTCGTCCTCAGCACCGGGAAAGGCAGGATATGAGAGCAGAGGGTTCAAGCAGAGCAGCCCAACCCCGTGTTTGGTGGGCAGCATCACCCACTCAGCCCCAGAAATGCGAATGGTGAGGGTAGAGCGAGCCGTGGCTTTGCCCATCCTGGGCTCAGCCTCGCTGAGCATGACAGCAAGAGGAGGAGATCATGGGGGACAGCAGACAGGAGCAGCAGCCCTTACAGACATCTTCCTCGGCGGGCAGAGTCACCAGGTAGGAAGCCACCAGCAATATAGCTCAGAAGTGCCTCGAATGGAAGATCTTATAACCCTACACTTCCTTGTGGCTTACACATTAACAGCGGTCCTGCCTCCAGGAGCTGCTAAGGCAGGAGACTTTGATCCAGGGAACAGCTTCCCTGTTTACAGGCATTTTAGTAGGGACTAAGGGCGTCTTCAGCAGCTCCCAGCCTTCTCTGTGGATTCCCCGTGGAGGCACCAGCACACGGGGCCCTTCGTGGTGCTACTCCAGCCACCACAGAGGACAAGCATCTGCCGTGGAGGTGTGACCACCATGTTCATTTCTTTTCTTTGTGTAACAGCTCAGCTTAAAAAAAGAAAAAAAAAAAAAAAAAAAGCAATCATCTCCTTCCCTTCTTGTGGCTCTTGATTCAACCCCAGACTTCAGAAATCAGCGGGAAAGCAAGGAGGAGAAGGAGGCTAAGGCTCGGGAGAGCAGCAGCCCCTCTCCCAAGCCCCATCCCTGCTCTTGTCCCACTGCTGCACAGCTGGGAGACAGCTCCTGCCCTTCCCCAAAGGCTCCTGACGTGAGAAGAGATGAATGCTGATAAGCACTCCTCTCCTGGAGGGATTTCCTATTTGCAGAGGCTCATAAAACCCAGCAGGCCATGGGAATTTATTTGCTGACGGGGTCACTGAAGCTATGGGTGAAACTCCAGGGGGTCGAGCTTTGGGCTGGCAGGAGCAGGTGCCATGGATGGTGGTTCGCAGGCTGGGAGGGGTTGGCAGTGGGTTTGCTGCCGTGTGGCCCCCACACACACATTCACATCGCCCTGATCGTGCCCACTGATGCCCCTGGCAGAGGGTGAAGCTGCCTGGGAGGGGCAGCAGGAGATGCCCGAGGGCTAGGGAACACCACTGGTGCAGAGAGCTGCGTGTGGAGCCGCGAGTAGCACAGATGTCAGAATATACACAAGGAGGGAGACGGGCAGGAAAGAGGCAGGGGCTGGTCAGAGAGGGGCTGCGTGATTTTGTTGAGATAACGTTACCCCCTTCCTGCAAACACTCGGCAGGGGCGTTCACCCCCTTTTTTTTATTATTATTTATTTGCCACCGGGAACAATAGTGGGAAACAAGGCAGCAAGCCTGCCAGCGCGGGCGACTTCCTTCGTTTGCAGAGCTGAGCCTCCTCACGGTCAGGAGCCAGCTCTGTGCAGATGGCCCGACTCATACAGGGGGGTGTCCTTCCCACATAGGAAAGTCAGAGAGAATTTAGGGACCCCAGAAAGGCCGAAACCTTCCAGCGAAATAGGATGTGGCGACTGGGATGACGGGAGGGGGAAGGAGGTGGGTTGATATTTCCCCCAAAGCACTGCAAAGGAGAAAGCCTGGGGAAGCGGCAAAGTGATGGGAAAGTAAATCTCCAAAAGAGAGGAAATCCGGCTGCAGGGCATCTGCAAAGGAGGTGGAGGATCTGTGCCGCAAGGAAAATATAAATAGTGGCTGTGGGAGCTGGTGGTCACCAGTACAAGGGACCCAAGGATCCTTCACCCCAAAGAGATGGGCCCAAGATATCTGCTTGGGAGTCCACCCCATGCTCACGCTGGCCAGGGGGCAACTGGCCTTACTGGTGTGGGACCTCCATGTTGGCATCGCTGGAGGTAGAGGAGGCCCTGCCATGTCATAAAAATCATATTTTAAGGGGAGAAGAGACCAGCACAACCTCCTGGGCCTTCAGCCAGCAGGGTGGCAGGGCAGAGCAGGCCCTTTCCTCAGGTCCTGGGGAGGTCCCAGGCCAGCGGGAGCACCCCTGGGTGCTCGGGGTGGCTGCAGGCCGCAACCACGGGCACATGGCAGCCATAAGGCAGAACGAACGCTGCCCTTCCAGGCCTGCTGCCAGGATCCCTGTCAGCAGCAGCCCTGGCAGCGGTATTTATTTTCTTTTATTACTTGGGCAAGAGATAAGCCAGCTCGGTCTGAAGCCCTGAGGAAAATCCAAGGCTTCCCAATAGGCCAGCGAAGGCGGCACAACCGCCCCTGCTATGTGAGGCTTCACAGGGCCGCTCGTGGAGGGGGGGACACCCCAAAATCCACTCCCTTCCTGCAGATGATACGAGCCAAAAAGGGTCCCTCAGAAAAGCGGTGTCCACACCAGATGTGGTGCAAGGCGTGCCACTGGCCTTGCACCACACCAAGCTCCACAAGCAGAGGCGAGGGAGCCCATCAGCGCTGCAGTAGTAGCTTAGCGCTAATTAGACCCCAAAAAATCAGCGCTGGATGAAGAGGCTGGGGCGTAAAAGGTTTCCATCCCACTGCACACCCCAGGCACCAGGGAGTCTGCGCTGCGGCCCAGGCATCGGCACCCGTTCAAGGCAAAGAGGAGCTGGAGGGAGCACACATTCCTTCTCGGAGCAGCAGCTGCTCACTCTGCTATTATTTCCTACTGCTTCGTATAATTTGTACTCCACAGCGAGCTATTGTCCCTTTCCACTGGCTATTTATTTCCTTGAATAGCCTCTGGGGAAGGATTTCAGGGAGAGAGTGAGGAAAAAAAGAAAAACCCTACACAATAAATATCAAGCCGTGACCTGATTTAAACCATGTTCTCCGGCCTCCTCCAGGCCCCAGCAACGATTCCTCCCTGCAGCCCTGATGGAGGCTGGCTCCTGCCTCAGTTTCCCCCTTTTACAAAGCCAAACTGCCTTAGAGGGCTGTGGAGTTCAAGAAGCTGAGCCCTGGATTTTCAGAGGCCCCGATGAATGCAGCTTTTCCAAAAACAAGTGGTAAAAACAAAAAAAAAACAGGTCCTGCCCATCCACCCAGACCCTCATGCAAACCCCCCCAGTTGCAGGACAGCACCGAGAAGAGGTTGTCCATCAATCACCTCCCCATGGCGATGCCCAGTCTCAAAAATTCCTCAAAAATAGGAATTTCTGAGGAATCAAAAGCTCTCAAAAATAGGCTTGACAACGCCAGCTTCCCCTTCAGTAGAGGGGTGTTGGTTTGATTATCTTTCATCAGATAATGCCACAACCTTCACCCAGCCTATCCCTAAGCCCTGACAGCCCGCCAGCTTCCTAACGGAGGAGGACAGAGAGAACAAAAAGTACTTAGCTCAGCCCAGCGCTGAGGTAAGCAGAAGACTGGATAAGCAGGTTGTGGATCTGGAGGGTGTGTACAAGAGAGGATTGTCCAGGAGATGCAGGAGAAGCCAAGGCAATGGTGAGCACTAGGAAACCAATGCCTGTGAGCCCCAATCTGCTGTCTAAAAGGGCAACCAGAGCAGGATGGCTCCTCTAGGAGCATTGAATTCTCCTCTTTCAGATCCACAAAAATGGGAAGGAACAGACTGGCAGACAAAGGTGTAATCCCCTGGCACCCTTCACGTCCCAGCTCCCTGAACGTCCACCATCCTGAACCCCTCTGGGCAGCACAGAAGCAGCATCCACTCTCTGGACCTTGGGAGCAAGGGATTAGAGGCCACCAGCTTCTGGTAGGCTCGCCGCCAGCATCACCCCAGCTTTTCTCTGGCAACGTTTTTGTGTGGCCCAAATTGTGCCAGGAGAGAGGAGGAAAGGGATTTGTATGCCTGGAAGCTGGCTCGCAAGGAACCAGGGCCATTTCGTCGACCCAAGCAGACAGATGGGTCACGTCCTATGGGTCCTCGGCTTGCACGAGGGGTAAAACTGGCAGAGCGTGGGGAAGCGAGGGCAGAGGACTCATTACATGCCACCCAGTTCCCTTTCCAGCCTTCATTTCTCTAATTCTTTCCCTCATGGGGCATGCCAGGAATGCTGGTTGTGGGAAAGGCTTTGAAAAACATGCCTGGAGATAAAAGTGCGCTTGTGTTGAAAGCTTCCCTACTGGCAAAGGAGAAGATGCCTAGAAGGCTCGTGCCTTCCCCATCTCTCACACTTTCAGGATCTCCCCGCTTTACCCACACTTGCTGGGTGAGATATGATGAGCTAAGCTGGAAAAGTATCTTCCACGATGGATCAGCTTCATGAGGTCTTGTGCTCCATGTGCAAAAGATTGAGATCTCCAGCAGCTTTCTCTCTCACCTTTGAGAAAGGAAGATGGCACAGGGAAACTGATGCACAGGTAAATGAGTTTAAAAAAATAAACTAAAATAAAATAAACAGCTTTGCAAATGTGTTTTAGAAGCTAAAGGAAGCTGGGCTCTCCTGGGTAATGCGGCTCAGGTATCAGAGATGCCGATCTCTCACCGTGCCATCTACTGTCTGTAGGATTTAACGAGGTTCTGAGTGCTGCAGAAAATAAAATAAAATAAAATAAAATAAAATAAAATAAAATAAAATAAAATAAAATAAAATAAAATAAAATAAAATAAAATAAAATAAAATAAAATAAAATAAAATAAAATAAAATAAAAAATTAGCCCTTGGGTGGGTCCAATTAAACCCAAAAACCAGAGGCATTCAAAGCGAGCAGTCGCCTTCCAACAAAGGAAGCCAGGGGACTTCCGAGATGCCCCAAGCCCAAGTCCCCAGCCTTCAAGGGGGCCATTTCCCACAACAGAGCCAGCGTGAGGCCAGCTGGCTGGAACTCGAACAAGCAGAAGAGAAGCACGGGGTTGCGCCATACACAAAACATCCATTGGGACCTCCCTCGGTCGAGCTCTGAGCAGCCAGCCCCACACCACAGCAGGGGGATGCAGTGAGAGCGGCCACCAGGCCCCTGTGGCCAGCAGTCCACCTCTGCTGGGGAGAAAAAGGCTGCTGGTGCTGCACAGCTCGCCCCGAGCGCATTTCTCACGGGCTCCAGGGCTGCGCCGAGGCGGGTTGGACAGCTCTGAGGATTTGCAGGAATCCTTCAGACAAGCAGAATCCGTCTGAGTCACACGCACGAGGAGCCATGCCAAGGGTGGCTCATCCACTGGAAAAAAAAAAAAAATAAAGAGAGAGAGAGAGAAAAAAAAAAATGCTAAGGGAGAAATAGCAAGTTTGGAAAAGCCACAAGAATTAACAGCTCATGGGCTGGAATGAAGGAAAGAAAAAAAAAAAAAAAAAAAAAAAAGGCTGTTCTCCCATGCTCACATCACTAAACTCTCGTACCCCTCATGCGTGCCAGCAAGCAGCGAGCCACCTTAAGCCCCCCTTCCCCCCAGCTCTGAGAGGGGCTGAAGGGGCTTTGGAGCCAAGGCTGTGGCTGAGGGCTGCCGAGGAAGGGGCTGTCAAGCCCAAACGATCTGCTGCTGCTGCTCTGAAATTAGCTTGAACACATTCCCTTTGATGGCCCTGCAAAATGAAGCAGTAAAAACCAAACCAGATGGAAAGGGAAAAGAAAAGCTGCTAAAAAAAGGGAAGCAAAATCCCAAAATGAGTGACTCAGTGCAGGAAATGGGCTTCTAAAGAGGGAACTGCAGGCATCTAAAGGAGACCTAAGGAAAA